GCCGCCGTTGTGGAAGAAGCCAAGGCTGAGAAGGCAATCACGAAAGCGAGGAAGAAGTCTGAGGAAGCCGAGAAACCTCAAGAAGCCGCCGTTGTGGAAGAAGCCAAGGCTGAGAAGGCAATCACGAAAGCGAGGAAGAAGTCTGAGGAAGCCGAGAAACCTCAAGAAGCCGCCGTTGTGGAAGAAGCCAAGGCTGAGAAGGCAATCACGAAAGCGAGGAAGAAGTCTGAGGAAGCCGAGAAACCTCAAGAAGCCGCCGTTGTGGAAGAAGCCAAGGCTGAGAAGGCAATCACGAAAGCGAGGAAGAAGTCTGAGGAAGCCGAGAAACCTCAAGAAGCCGCCGTTGTGGAAGAAGCCAAGGCTGAGAAGGCAATCACGAAAGCGAGGAAGAAGTCTGAGGAAGCCGAGAAACCTCAAGAAGCCGCCGTTGTGGAAGAAGCCAAGGCTGAGAAGGCAATCACGAAAGCGAGGAAGAAGTCCGAGGAAGCCGAGAAACCTCAAGAAGCCGCCGTTGTGGAAGAAGCCAAGGCTGAGAAGGCAATCACGAAAGCGAGGAAGAAGTCTGAGGAAGCCGAGAAACCTCAAGAAGCCGCCGTTGTGGAAGAAGCCAAGGCTGAGAAGGCAATCACGAAAGCGAGGAAGAAGTCTGAGGAAGCCGAGAAACCTCAAGAAGCCGCCGTTGTGGAAAAGCCAAGGCTGAGAAGGCAATCACGAACGAGGAAGAAGTCTGAGAAGCCGAGAAACCTCAAGAAGCCGCCGTTGTGGAAGAAGCCAAGGCTGAGAAGGCAATCACGAAAGCGAGGAAGAAGTCTGAGGAAGCCGAGAAACCTCAAGAAGCCGCCGTTGTGGAAGAAGCCAAGGCTGAGAAGGCAATCAGAAAGCGAGGAAGAAGTCCGAGGAAGCCGAGAACTCAAGAAGCCGCCGTTGTGAAGAAGCCAAGGCTGAGAAGGCATCACGAAAGCGAGGAAGAAGTCTAGGAAGCCGAGAAACCTCAAGAAGCCGCCGTTGTGAGAAGCCAAGGCTGAGAAGGCAATCACGAAAGCGAGGAAGAGTCTGAGGAAGCCGAGAACCTCAAGAAGCCGCCGTTGTGGAAGAAGCCAAGGCTGGAAGGCAATCACGAAAGCGAGGAAGAAGTCTGAGGAAGCCGAGAAACCTCAAGAAGCCGCCGTTGTGGAAGAAGCCAAGGCTGAGAAGGCAATCACGAAAGCGAGGAAGAAGTCCGAGGAAGCCGAGAAACCTCAAGAAGCCGCCGTTGTGGAAGAAGCCAAGGCTGAGAAGGCAATCACGAAAGCGAGGAAGAAGTCTGAGGAAGCCGAGAAACCTCAAGAAGCCGCCGTTGTGGAAGAAGCCAAGGCTGAGAAGGCAATCACGAAAGCGAGGAAGAAGTCTGAGGAAGCCGAGAAACCTCAAGAAGCCGCCGTTGTGGAAGAAGCCAAGGCTGAGAAGGCCGTGACGAAAGCGAGGAAGAAGTCTGAGGAAGCCGAGAAACCTCAAGAAGCCGCCGTTGTGGAAGAAGCCAAGGCTGAGAAGGCAATCACGAAAGCGAGGAAGAAGTCTGAGGAAGCCGAGAAACCTCAAGAAGCCGCCGTTGTGGAAGAAGCCAAGGCTGAGAAGGCCGTGACGAAAGCGAGGAAGAAGTCAGAGGAAGCCGAGAAACCTCAAGAAGCCGCCGTTGTGGAAGAAGCCAAGGCTGAGAAGGCCGTGACGAAAGCGAGGAAGAAGTCAGAGGATATAGGAAAGCCAAAAGTAAAGAGAACTAGCTTGAAATCGAAGAAGAAAGTTGAAACGGATGGCCCAGACAATACCACTGAGACTAATGGTTTCCGTAGTGTGGAGAATGGGGACAGTCATTCAGTGCCCATGAATGGTAAATTGGAAAAAATTGAAAGTCTGACCGCCGATGAGGAATATGAGAAATTATACCAGAAAGCTTTGGAAACTCGCGCTTATATGGAAGATGGCCGCGAGTGGACACGTGTGACTGATGAGGATAACAGCAACCGACAGATTCTTCTAAATAACGATCAAAAGCTTACTGAGGCAGTTAAGAGAGAGATGGAGGATCTCAAGAAGATGCAGAAGGATCGCGAAATGAAGAGGAAACCTGCCTTTGAGATGTTTTTGACGAATCGGTCAATGGGCGTGGGATCAACTGTGAAACTATCGTGCGCAGCAACTGGTCCCGAATATCAAGTGCAGTGGCTGAAGAATGGGAAACCCATTTCAAGTGGAGGAAAATATCGCATCCGGGAAAGCTGTGGTCTGCTTGCTCTCGAAATTCTAGACGCTACCGTGAGCGACAGTGGTGAATACACTTGCATCCTGAAGAATCGCAATGGTTCCGTCGAGAGTAGCTCGATGGTGACTATTTACGAGAAGTGTCGGGACGATGACGCATTCGCGCCACTCTTCACTCGAGGAATTCGAGGTAAGACTTACATTTTAATCTTCCTTCTCCACCAGATAGTTTGACGAGATGTAGAGGAAATATTCAACTGAGATCAAGTTCTATGTTGCAGCATACAGTGTGTGATAAATAAATGACGACAGTTGAAGCTGTGAGACACATTTGTCCCAGAGTTTAATCTGTCCCTATTTAATTGCCACTCACTGTACATTTGTTACATATTTATAGCCGCATGTTTGTTTTATGAGTGAGTAAATTCGTTGCAGTGACCCAAGTTAACGAATCACCCCCGTTTTCATTTTGCTGCGCTCACATAATTGATTTGCACTCTTGTACACACTTAATAGACCAAAATAGACCAATCATGACCGAATAATTTAGATAAATTCGGTTGATGAAGCAGCGCACGAAAGGTATGTATACCAATTATGTGGTTGATGCTGAGGAAAACAATACAAGAACGCATTGATCGATCGTTTCTCTTCTAAATCGAAAATAATGTATTTTCTATCTTCTTTCAATTCATGAATTGAGTGCGTCAAGTACAATGGCAAATTGCAATCGACCACATCATGAGGCAGTGTCAATGTTAATTATATCCCTTGGCGCGATGCCACGAGAACTGATTAATTGGTCAGAGGCAGTCGATTGAGCTGGGCGATCGATGTCTTCAGAAGGGTGCAATCAGTGCGTTCTGTCAAGTGCTGCTGACCAGTTCTCAGGTGGTCCCAACAATGGCGGACGTGTTGGTGGAAAAGAAACCTACCGTGAGCATTCAGGTGCCTCAGTCGATCATTAAGCGCGGTATAACTCCAGATGTCCTGCGAAGGAGCCGCAGCCGGCGCAGCCGCAGTGTCACGCCATTTCTGGCGCGTCAGGATCGCGAGACCACACCTTATGAAATTGGCCAAAATGTCCCTCACACGCTCGTGTCGGCGCTTTGCGTCCTGGATCAGGCTCTCGTTATGGACATCTCATCGGCCATCCAAGATGATCCAGTGCAGGTGCTCACATCGGACTTCTCCGTAATCGACAGGGCGTCCGTGATGGACATTTCCCACGGAGATTTCATCCTTGAGTACGAGGAGTACGAAGAGGAAATTGCCGATGATGCCAGTATAATGAGTGTCGATGACCGCGCCAGCGAACTGGATGAAAGTGAAACGCGATCGGAAAGATCAGAGAGTGAGGCGCCGGTGAGTGAGGCTGAATCTGTGGGTACAGAAGTGAGTGAGACGGGAGAGGGCGGTGAACCAGGTGCCAAGAAGAAGAAAGTGGTGAAAAAGAAGGCAGTAAAGAAGCCCGTAGTGAAAAAGAAAATTGTGAAGAAAGAGGAGTCGCCAAAGAAGAAGGCGGCCGGGAAAACGGGTGCCACCCCACCGCCAAAGGCTCCGCCCAAGAAACTCGCCGTCTCGAGTATGTTCAATCAGGCAGACTCGGCTCCAAAGCCCCCGAAACCCACGAAGCCACAGCCGAAGAAGAAGTCCAAGTCCCCATCGCCTAGGCCAAAGGGAGCCACACCAACGAAGTCAGCAGAGGAAGCGGCAGAAATCGCCAAGAAAGCACGCGAACCGTCTAAGGAGCCAGAAGAAGAGCCCGAAGAAGAGGAGGAGGAGGAAGAAGAGGGTGAGGAAGAGGGAGAGGAGGAAGAGCAGGAAGAGGAGCCAATGGACGAGTATCAGTACGATGAAGATCAGGAGCCAGAGGAAGAAGAGGAACCGACTCCAAAGTCTCCGTCGCCAGTATATACGGAAGACGATATTGCTGAGCAGAAACTCATTGCCAAGCTCACAGTCTATGAGCCTGACTACGATCCTGATATCTGGAGGAAGGTTAAAGATGAACCTCCACCGCCGCCCATCCATCTCGAGTTCCCACCGGAGAAGCCGAGAAAGGGCCAACTTCCTTACAAAAGTCTCACGGAGAAGGAGCGCGATATTGAGTGGCAGAAGGAGCGTGAATCCAGGAAGCCACCAGTTCTGTTGAACCATCTCACGGATCGTATAGTGTGCGAGGGAACACCAGTGAAATTGAGTTGCAGTGTATCTGGGCCGGATCTTCAGGTGAAGTGGTTGAAGAATGGTTTCACTATGGAGAAGAAGCCGTCAATCAAGACCACGTCGACCGATGGATATCTGGTACTTGATATGCCAAATCCCACTCCTGCAGACTCCGGAGTGTATGAGTGCGTGGTGAAGAACAAGAACGGGGAACTCTCCACTCAGGCCAATGTGACAATCTACCAGCTCTCAAGTGAACTCCACGTAATCCCGACAGTCATCGCAGCTAAAGGTATCTTCATTTGTGCTGTCCATCATTTGTGACTCCCTCTGTTCCCTCTAGAGCACCATTCGTCTGAGCATTGAGCGGCAGTTCATGGCAAGTCTCTGTCTTTCAGACTCCTACGACATCTACACAGATGAATTGATCGTGGAGTTCCACATCCGTGGTCAGCCTAGACCTCAGCTCGAGTGGGCCAAAGACGCCATTGCTCTGGATTTGAATGACGAGCGCTATCGCGTGGTTCACGAAGGCAACCTGTGTCAGTTGCTCATCTCGAAACCAACGATCAATGATAGTGGAAAGTACGTGTGCTTCGCCTCGAATGCCGCTGGCAAGGTTGAAGCCTCGCACTATCTGTACTTCGAGAGCAAAGAGGCCGTGACCCACGTTGCGGGCATTTTCCATGCTCACTCTAAGAAGTCCTTAGAGGAGATCACCGATGAACTGATGCCGCACATCACGCTGCCCGAGAGACCGAAGGATGATAATCAGGGCGAGAGAGTGAAGAAGGAGAAGCCAGCCGCGAAGGGTGTCAAGGGCGGGCCAAAGGCGGCGGCCGCAGCCGCTGCTGCGGGCAAGGGTCGTCGCAAGGAAGAGACTCTGCTCCACAGGAAGATCCTCACCTTCTCCAACAACTTGCGCGACATGACAGTGAATGTGGGCACAAAGCTGAAGCTCACGACCACAGTTATCGGGCCAGAGCCCAATATCAAGTGGACCAAGGATGGCATCGGCATCGCTCCGTCGCCGCGCTACAAGAACTCGACCAAGGAGGGCTTCGCGTGCATCGAGCTCAATGATCTCACGCTGGACGACTCCGGAGTCTACGCCTGCACGGCCAAGAACGCCGCTGGTGAAATATCAACCCAGGCGCAAGTGACGGTTTATGCAATAGAGGATGTCGACGCGATCGCCCCAATCTTCACTTTGCCAATTAGAGGTAAGCTCAAGTGGCGTTCTATAATTAAGTCGGCGATTGAGAGCCAATTTCACGAGTCTGTGAACCTCCCCAATTGTTTTTCAATCATCCAAATTCCTCAGCGTCAAGCAAGATTAAAGAGACAATGAAGAGGTGTGTGTCATTGACATTCTTCTCTATTTTCTGAATAATTTTCCAACTATTTCAAACAATATCAATTAATATGTTGCACAGCAAGGGGAGAATTAAATAGTTAATTTGAAAAGGGTTACAAAAATACTTCTGGGTTGAAACGAATTGAGAAATTTCCTATGAGAAACACTTAAGAACGTATAATTTATAGTGTCTGTGCGCATAAATCCGTCACTGAGCTCTCATAGTGCAACCTTAAGCCAATTATCACTCCTAGAATGCAATGATTATGCAATCAAATCGATTGATGTGCTATTTTTACCCCTTCAAGATACTTACCACGCCGCGGAGAACGACTTAATTCTGTCTTGCAAGGTGCGCGCTCATCCGCGACCGCAGATCGTGTGGATGAAAGATGAGGTGGAGATTCCGCCAGAGGAGAGGATTCAACAGGTGGAGCATGCTAATGGGGTGTGCGAACTGCTGATCCACGCCCCGTCGACCAAGGACAGCGGCACGTACTCTTGCACGGCCAGCAACTCAAAAGGCATGCAGAAAGTGGCGCACAGAACGCTCGTGCAGGCACAGTATATCGCACCTGTGGACGTGCAGCCGCGCGACGAACAGAAGCCAAAAGGACGCAAGATGGGCAAGAAGAAGGAGAAGCCCACATCCACGGGCATTCCCAGCGCCAAGTTGTCGTTGGTCTTCCAATCCTTCCTCACGAGTCGCACTGTGAAGGAGGGCCAGCCTGTGAAGCTGACGTGCTTCGTCGCTGGACCGGATCCAAATGTGAAGTGGCTGAAGGATGGGGCAGGATTCGCCCCGTCGCCAGTGCTCAAGGTGAATAATGCCGACGGCTTCCTCACGTGTCACTTCCTCAGCCCCAAGGTCGAGGACTCGGGAGAGTATTCTGTGCTGGTGAAGAACTCCATGAGCACCATCACCTGCTCCTGTCGTCTGGACGTCTATTCTGCTCACCTCACCTCGGACTTCCCGCCGATGTTCACTAGAGCGCTCAAAGGTAAAGCGAATTGCGCGGATTCGATCGGATGTGTGTGACCTTTGAATCACCTTTTCAGACAATTATCACATCAACACGAATGAGCTGATCATCGACAGCCACATCCGTGGCCAACCGATGCCCAGCGTGTCCTGGATGAAGGATGGCCTCACTGTCAATCCAGACGGCACTTTCCAGCAGTTCGAGCACGAAGACGGAAGCATCGAGTTCGTCATCAGCGATCCTCAGCGCAGTCACAGCGGACGCTACATTTGCCAGCTGGAGAACCACATGGGCAAGGCTGAGCTTTCGCACTATGTCCTGTTCGAGGGCCGCGAAGTGTGCGAAACGGAGCCTGTGCACGGAGTCTATCACGTGGACCACGCGAAGATCCGCGAGAAGGAAGAGGCAGAGCGCCGAGCCCGCGAGCAAGCGCTGCTTCCAACTCCTCCGAGGCGAGAATCCGCGGTGGCGTTGGAAGGATCTGCCGATGTTTCGCCCAGGAAGACGGTGTCTAAGACACCGAGTCGCCTGGACAGGGTGATTCACGACGCCAAGACGAGGCTCACCTTCGCGGCGCCGCTGACCAACAGAGTGTGTGCCGTTGGATCCAAAGTCAAGCTCTCGTGCTACGTGGACGGCCACAATCCGCACTTCGAGTGGTTCAAGAACAACAACCCAGTGAACTACAGCACCACAGTGCGCAACTCCAGTCGTGACGGTCTGGGCATCTTGGAGTTCTTCGACGCTCAGCTCGATGACACTGGCGACTACAAGTGTGTGGTGAGGAACATCGCCGGAGAGATCAATTCGACGGCCACGCTGATGGTCTACGAGGACAGAAAGGACGTCGAAGTGCCGCCGTGCTTCGTCATTGGGCTGAAGGGTGAGAATCGAATCTTGATGGAATTGCCAAGCAAACTGATGACTTCTCTTTGCAGACAAGTACATAATCGAGCGCGATGAAATCCTCATGGAGTGCCACGTTCGCGGTGATCCCAAACCTAGCATTAGCTGGATGAGAGAGGGCGAACCGATCACCGACCCTCGCTTCCAGTTCTTCGAGCTGGACGATGGCGTTTGCCATCTCTTGATCACCAAACCAGTGCCCAAAGACAGCGGCGTGTACGCCTGCATTGCGGAGAACAAGCTGAAGCGCGAACAGACAGGACACTACTTAGTGTTCGAGGGCAGGGATGCTGAGCTCAAAAAGCTGGAGCCAGAGCCTGAGCCGGAAGTCAAGGAGCCGCCCAAGAGGAAGCCGATGGGCAAGAAGGCGAAGGCCAAGGCGGCAGCCAAAGCGGCCGAAGCTGGAGGTCCAGTGGACATGAAGAGTCGCTTGCAGTTTGTGGCTCATCTTGCGGACAGAACCGTTCCCGTGGGGGCCAAGTTGAAGCTGTTCTGCATCGTGGACGGTCCAGAGCCGCAGATCAAGTGGACGAAGAACGGATGCGGAGTCGTTGCTGGGCCGCGCGTGAAGAACGGCACGAAGGAGAACAATGCACTGATTGAGATCTTGAACGTCCTACCCGAGGATGCGGGAGAGTGGAAGTGCTCAGCCAAGAATGCCGCTGGAGAAATCACCTCCGTGTGCAATCTGATAGTGTTCGCGCCGCCACCAGTCGACATTATTCCACCCACATTCTCCAGGCCGATTTCTGGTAAATTGCATGCATTGCGTTGTGTGTTGAGTGTCTCGCTCCTCTTGTCGTCTGTGGTAAGTCTAAACCTGAAGCTTGAGGCTTCCGTTAACCCTCAATTTGCGATCTCAGTTGAATCTCGATGTCTAAATTTATATGATCACAATGTGGCATTCAGCAGACTCTCTTCCTGGTTGTAATGAGGCAACTCATGCGCAATTACCGCCTAATTGACGAGCTAATCGATGGGTAATTGCGACGTGATCAGTTCAGTTTGATCCGTGATCCTGTGCAGTTCAGGATGGAGATCAAGACGGAAGCGCCGCGCAAGGCGCGCGGGAAGAAGCGGGGCCAGAAGAAGAAGGAGACTTCGGATCTCCTGGCAGGAGACACAACGCCTATTTTCCTCACCCACCTGACGAACAGGACCGTCGAAGAAGGCATTCCAGTGAAGTTCTCATGCTTCGCCATGGGACCTGAACTGCAGGTGAAGTGGTTCAAGAATGGAGAATCCTATACGCCAACATCGCCCGTGAAGATGTCCTGTGAGGATGGATTGATTGTCCTGGAGTTTCTCAATCCCCGGAAGGACGATTCAGGACGGTACAAAGTGAATGTGTTCAACGCCAGCGGAACTATATCCTCCACAGCCTTCCTGGAGATTTACTCAATAAAAGGCGCCACAGTGACGGCAGATCTTCCGCCTGTCTTCACCAGCGCCATGAAAGGTATCACGCGCAGTCCTCGAGAGTCCTCTGAAGCCACATTGTGACAAAATCTATGATGAATCCTTGTGCCTGTGATAAATGTCATTGGTATTTATTCCCTCTTGCAGATTCATTTCATCCAGAAACCAATGAAATTATCCTTGAGTGTTTTGTCAGCAATCCTCCCCCACAGATTTCATGGTTCAGGAACAATGTCGAAATCACAAACACGGACAAATTCGCTCTCATATCAGAAAACAATCTCAGAAAGTTGATTATATCTCACCCCGAAAGCTTAGACAGTGGTCTTTATTCGTGCAAATTGCACAATAGCGAGCAGGAGCAGGAGGTTTCCTGCCATGTTGATGTGAACTCCTTAATTGGCTTGCCCAGAGTGAAGAAGGAACCCAAAGCCGAGGCAGAGGATCAGGATCTTCTGCCCAGAAAGAGGATTCAGCAGGAGGATGAGCAAGTGGCGCAGAAGCCGCAGAGTCGAGCGGAGAAGATGCGCGAGGCGGAGAGGAACAAGTTGGTCTTTGAGGTGTATTTGAAGAATGCAACGGCCAATGAAGGATCGACGATTAAGCTGATGTGCTGCGTGCGTGGACTCGAGCCAAGAGTGACTTGGCTGCGGAATGGCCAAGAAATTCCTCACGATCCCATCAAGTATTCCACAGAGAGTCGCAATGGCGTATTTTCGCTCGCCGTCAGCAATCTGACCCACTCCGATGCTGGCGAGTACTCGTGCCGCGTTGAAAATGCCATCAATGCGATCTACTCATCGGCGAAGGTGATCGTCAATGAGAAAGTGCAGAAGAAGGAATTGCCGATGGTGATCTCGGATAAGTTACTAGGTCAGTTCATCTACTGAGAGTATTTTTAATCATTTAGTGACGAGATTTATTAATTTCTTGCAGATTTCTATGACCAGAAGACCAATCAACTGATCTTCGAGTGCATGACAAGAGGATCACCGAAAATCACATGGTTTAGAGACAATAAACCTCTGCAGGATGAGAGATTCGACTACTTCTCAGACAAAAGTGGCTTGAACAGGCTGATAATCAGCAATCCCAGAGCTGATGATAGTGGAAACTACTCTTGTCGGATTCAGGATACCAATTTTGACGTCAAGCTTGATCATCATCTGTCTTTCGATGGCAGGAAGATCATCCGCGGAAGACATCTCGAGAAGGCCCAGCAAGAGCCGCAGAAGCCATCCAGTTCGCACACAGCACTGAGGCACAGAGACACGAGGAAGAAGCCCTATTTCACCACTTCTCTGATGGACAGAACAGCCGCCGAGGGATCGACGATCAAGCTGATAGCCAACGTGATGGGCGATGCCGACTCTGAGGTTGTCTGGCACAGGAATCACATTCCACTGGAGAGCTCTTCGCGTCATCGCACGATCTTCAGAGACGGCCTGGCGACGCTCGAGATTTTCGGCGCCACTCCAGATGATTCTGCAGAGTATTCTTGTGTTGTGCGGAATCGCTACGGTCAGGCGGAGTCGAGTTCCAAATTGAAGGTGTACGAAGGGTTTGAAACCACCCCAATGCCACCCACTTTTACCAGGAGTATCAAAGGTATTTGGCGAGATTTCCCCGAGGAATTAGCTTTGGATGCCTTACTGAAAACTTACACACTTTCTCATTTGCATTCATCCTCTGTCGCTTAGCCATAAGTCTCTCCCTCTGTTGAACCAATACTGATCTCTGGTCTCATTGCAGACACTTACAACATTAACGTGGATGAACTGGTGCTTGAATGTCGCGTTCGTGGCCAGCCTCGTCCCTCGATCACATGGTACAAAGACGGCGAGGAGCTGGACACGCACATGAACAAGAAATACGAGCAGCAGGACTCTTACGATGGCTTCTGTCGTCTGCTGATCAGCAAACCCACGCCGACCGACAATGGCATCTACATCTGCAAGGCCGACAATCCCGGACACTCGGACAAGATCCAGCACATGGTGCAATTCACAGGCAAGGACAGCAGCATCCTGGAGCGAACGCACGGCTTCTACCATCGCGATCCCAACAAGCCGCACTTCTCCACTGTGCTCACGGACAATCTGGTGCCGATCGGCGGCACGATCGGTCTGCAAGTGGAGGTTCACGGGCCCGTGGACGTGCAGTGGCTACGCGGCAAGGACGTACTGACGTCGGGCGACAAGGTCAACACGTATGCCGAGGAGGGCACCTACACGCTGGCAGTGTCGAGCGCCACGGCCAAGGAGTCCGGCACCTACACCTGCCGCGCCACAAATGCATTTGGCAAGTCCGACAGCATCGCGCACGTGCACGTGATCGCGCCGGCTACCGTGAAGGGTGGCAAGCCGCCGCAGATCCTCGACAGACCGCCCAAGGAGATGGTCCTCATGACTGGCGACAACCTCAAGATCTCCTTCAGGATCCAGGGCGATCCCAAGCCACAATGTGAGTGCGGCGAAGCCACGAAAGGTGGGAAGAAAAAATGACTCTCTCGCTCTTTGCAGTGTATTTCTTGAAAGGATTGCGAGATCTCTCCAAGAACTCACGGTGCTACAAAGAGAAGCACGACGACTACGTCCGATACAATATCGAGCAGTGCAGCCTACAGGATTCAGGAACGTACTGCATAATGGCGAGGAACCGCTTTGGCATTGATCGAGCATTTGTCGCCGTACAGGTAAAATTCGCGCTCAGAATTTCCAACTAAAACATCTGATAAACTCTCAATGGCTTCTCTTTTTTCACGCTTATCTTTCTCTTATCTATTTCCATGCTGGCTTTTTACACACTAACAACCGATCCTCGCTTTTGCCATTTTCTTACTTTCTGGTTTTTCCATTCAAATTGAATTATGTAGATCATTAATCCTAAGCAACACAATATCGCTGCCGTTAACAGGTTAAAGCAAGAGCGCGATCAATAACGCCATCGAGGGAATGGAATTACACACCGATAACCGTGGATAGCACAGAAGTTTCATATTTTAAAAGTAAGTATTTTCACCATTTTTTGTGTCTTTCTTTGCTTGTTTAACAAGTCGTGTGATTGTTCGCTTGTGTTAAGCAAATTCTAGCGGAATTTCCTGTCATTTATTGGATATTCTGTGAGATTTCTCACGGGATTTCCGTAGAATCTTCATGTGCCTTTATTGTCTTCTTGTAATCCACTCATTTGTACAGTGAAAATGTGATTGTGAATCAACCTTTCGCAAGAGAAATTCAGTAATTGTTCTGTGACTCAGTGAAAAATTCATCTTTCCGTGTCTCACGTCTTGTTTATGACGTCAAATTGTCCAAATATTTGTCCGTATCAATCGTCACAGTCTGTTTCTTCACTCTTGAATATCTTCTCAGCACCTGAATATTTTCTTCTTGTAGGTTTTCACGATGAAACGGAATGTTCGCAAAATTATGTTAAATATCTAAATAATCAATTTCACTTCTATAACTCTTCAATTGCTCTCACTTATATTGTAATACACTGGCAAATGATGTGGAAATTTACTAAGAAGGTCAAAAAGTATATGCTTAATTGTAATAAAGAAGAAAAACACCGTCTTACAACTCTTGCTTTCTTGTTTGATCATCATCTTGCGATCTTGTGCTTCAACACGAACACGATCGTGTGCCGCTGTTTGCCTTTCTTATGCTTGAATAAACACTCAAACTTGTGTGTGGCTTTTTTCTGCTCTCCTTTGGAGCCGCATTGCATCTTGAGCTGATGACCTGTTGTGCTCTCAGATCCACCAGAGCCCATTCCCGCTGAGCCCCTGGTCGTGGACAGTGGGAAGAATCACGTCAGCCTCTCGTGGCTGAAGCCACCGCCCGGCGACGCCGCGCCTGTGATTGCGTATAAAGTCGAGGCTTGGCTGGTGGGCAAAGACGGCGGCGCGCGATGGACTGAGTTGGGAGTGACGCCCATCAACAGCTTCGACGCCTTCAACTTGCAGCAGCGCTGCGAGTACCACTTCCGCGTGACGCCGAGGAATCGCTACGGCTGGGGTCCGTCTGTGCAGACATCTCAGTCTGTCCTCGTCGGAGTTCCCGTCCAAATGCCAGAGTTCACGAAGATCCTCCCCGGACAGCTGAAGGCGCTCATCGAGCGCGAAATCACGCTGGAGTGTATAGTCAAGGGACACCCAAAACCCGATGTGATCTGGTACAAAGACGGCCTGGAGCTGGAGAGCGAGGATAGAATCTCGTGCAGGTCCCTAGGATCGGTCTGCAAATTGACAATCGTCAGTGTGAGGAGCACGGATTCTGGAAGATACACTTGTGAAGCCACAAACAGAGCTGGACGAGTCTCAACCTTCGCGCGCTTGCTCGCTGTTGAGGATCGCAAGATTTTCGAAGCTGACGGCGAGCTCAAGCGATTCATAGAGACTGATCTGGTCAGTGGAATCACAATCACGAAGATTAGTTGAGAGTTTTTGACGACATTCATTTGGTTTCCAGAGTCTCATCAGCGAAATGCAGCCTCAATTCACAATGAGATTGCGAGATCGTCGCGTTCAGGTCACCTTCCCCGTCCGCCTCACCTGCCAATGCATAGGTCTGCCCCTGCCCGAAGTTGTCTGGTTCAAGAATGGAAAGGAAGTCGAGCAAAATGGTGAGAAATGCACAATTTTCCATGACTAACGATCGTAAAAATAATACTCTTTTCTCAAGATCGCTTCAATGTCTGGAACGAGAACAACTTCTACACCCTTGAGATCCTGCGAACCACCTTGGATGACGGCGGAAGGTACACCGTGACGGCTCGCAACGAGATGGGCTCTGTGTCCTGCCACTGCAATCTCGTGGTGGACAAGGGCATTCGGGCTTACATAGCTCCGGACTTCTATTGCGGTCTGGATCCTCTGTACACCTTCCGCGAAGGCTCAGAGATCAGGCTGTCCGCTCAGGTGGAGGCTTATCCCTCTGTCGGCGTCACTTGGCACAGAGATGGGGCGAAGTTGCGTCCTAGCAGGAGGATTGTTGTCACGCTGGATCACAACGGCTTCGTTGAACTTGTGATCGCCGATGCGAAGACTAGCGATGCTGGGATTTACACCTGCGTGGCTTCGAATGCTGTCGGTCAGGCTGAGAGTTGCTGCAGAGTCACAATTGAGGGCTCGTCAGATGATCAGACGGACAGAGCAGCGATCCCGAGAGTGACTGAAGGAGATCACCCGTAAGATCACGTCGCCCAGCGCCTCCTGAGCCCATGCTAATCCTCTTCCGTTCGCAGGTACTCCAAGGAGCCGATGTTCATCACGAAGCCACGCTCGAGCGAAGCCTACGAGGGCGACACTGTGATCATTCACTGCGAAGTAATTGGCGATCCCAAGCCCGATGTCGTCTGGCTAAGAGATTTCCTTAAGGTGAGCTCGCGTTTAACTGCAGGCATTCCCATAGTGGGAAATGTTAAATTAGTTTTCTACCTCAAGTCGGGGTCATGCACATTATTTCTGCCCGCAGATGTTCTTTTGCTCTCACCCAAAATGCGAATTGGCCGTTTATGAAACCTTCATGCCTTAAATGGTATCAAAATTGTGTGGTATTTACTTTATGTTCATTACAGGGTTTTTTTGTGATTAATTCTTAAGAGAAGCAAATTGAATGGAATTAAGTTTTTATCTCTTAAACAATTACCGTGAAGCATTTTTCGGGGTGATCTTGAGGAGAGTAATTTTTATATGTTTTCATAACTCTCCTGGTAAATGAACTCTTTTCAGCGGTGCGATCACGATGACTTTTTGCACATCCGAACGCGTTGAGATGAATTACACGATTGGAAAGGTCATTACCACATCTCTTATTGCGCACTCTTGTGCCATTCAGACTATTCACAGAGGCTCTAATGAACTTTTGTGTTCTGCTGGAATTTCGGCACGATCTCTGCTTTTTTCAGATTGGCGGTAATTAAATTTGCCACTTCACCTGTTTTCTCTTCACGCCGCATTTCTCTCGCAAAAAAAACAGCCAAGAAATAAAGAGATAAAAAGCCAACGAAAATGTACAATTTGTACTGAAAAATCAAAACAATCCGCATACCTTGTAAAAGAGTGAAATTCATCGATATTCTGTCTAATCTCTTGTACAGCAATTTCATTTATGGATTGCCAGCTCGAGCATGGAACGAGAGTGCTTTTTTTCATCTCCATTGAGTGCCTCAATTCGCCAAGATTAATCTCTTGTCGTGCAGCGCAATATCTTCTCGCAAGAGTTTCCAAAGCGATCGCTTGAGTGACTTAAATAATGCATGAATGGAGAGCAAAGTACACCCTCAATATAGGAGACACAGAGTGTGGCCGCGATGTTTTGCTGAAAACGGGCAGAATGAGATTTTATCATCATGTCAAAAATGCCAAATTGCAATACTGTTTAATTAGTTATAGAAAAGGAACATGAGCATTTTACTTGCAATTTCTCTTTCTCATTGCTTTTCGGCTAAGTGAATTGGGCGAGGCGAAGCTGCGGCTTCACCGATTGCAATTCTATTCAATGTAATCCGTAAATGCTCTGAGAAATTTAGAAATCAAGCATAGAGCAGCATTACATTTAAATCGATGGTTAAATGAGAAAGAATATTGATAAAAGGCCAGAAGAAAAGAGTGATTCAATTGAATTCTGAGCGCAACAGTGCGTGCATGGCGCTAAACATCGCGTAACCGCGCGAGATTGTCGGCATGTTTGTCATTCTCAAGTGAATTTATAAGCCAAAGAGTAGCGACGCACGTTGAAAAATTGCCAGTCCTCCTGCTGCTGAATCCACACAAGCTCTTGCAGAGATTGCTGATGTTTTGCTGGCTCCACTATGCGGGATATGCAAATTCTGCTCGGCGCTATGCACGACACAACCATAATTGGAAGCAATTCGCCGAGTGAGCAACTGCCTAATGGCAATGCTTCGCAGCATCTGAAGATGCCATTTGGCGGGGTGAATCGCGGGCTCACACACCTTCGCGCGGGGGAAGTTCGGACAGATGACGAGGCGGGATTTGTGGCACAGGAAGCGACCATCTGAGATGACAATTGAGCTGCGGCACGCAATGTGTGCCCACTCTCGCGGCGAAGAGCACTGAGAGAGGTGGTGGCGGAGCAGGAGAGGGATCAATGAATCTCAAGTGGCGCTTCAGGTCCAGTTGAGCTCGAGTCGTTGAAACGCGTGGGTCGAATTGCGGAGTGCTCGTGATTTCTGGGTGAAGCGTTGACATTCAAAACAAACCATAAAACATAAAGCATCTCAGGAATGCCGTGTGAATCGTGAGTGATCCATTTGTGGACGACTCTGCACAGAGGATTTCCCGCCAGGCTTTCGCAGTGTTGAGCCTCTCGAGGTACAATCACACCATTGCAGGAGTTGTTGCTAATTGTGGGATTAATTGACCAGTATTTAGCCATGGCGAAGTGTTATAATTTGTAGATACAGTGATTTGTGGTCGTGCTGCACCTCAATTTGCATGGTCACGCATCTCCTAAATCAATCAAATTTGATATATTTCTCGCCCAGGATTTTATTTTTCTCACAGCGAGCAATAAGACTCTTTTTTTCCCACTTTTATAATCAACTTCACGGGCACACACCAGCGAAACTTTTGTCTCATGCGATATTGTGAAAAATGTTGATTTACACTAAAAGTTCATATACGGTAAAGGACGTGTGATTCATGCGAGACACTACTTTTTTCGTCAATGTTGCTCTATGGAGCAACTTGAGTCGCTCAACCCAGCGGGGAGAATATAATCTCAGGCAAACATCAAACTGCGAAAGTTGAAGATTGAGTGTGTCTTATTATATCATATCACAATTTACTTACTCTGCACACATCGCAAAACCACATTTCAGTGACTAAATAAAGTGGTGTAGTTGTGGTGGGAGTCGAAGCGCCGGAAAAAGACGCTCAAGGTTCCGCAATATTCAAATTCAGAAGGGTTTCCCCAGGACTGTCGTCAGAAGGTCATGAGAAAATCACAAGACAGTCCCGTGAATGTCTTTTGCACATGCTTACGATATTCTGTCGCATATTATATGCAGAAAATACATTGATTCTTTATAACATTAAGAAAATAAGCTGGGAAATGGCGTACGGAATGTCGTACGACAATCTATCGAAAGCTCTCTTGAATGTCTAAACCACTGAACATTGCGTGTCTCATGATTAAACAATAAGAACATAACATTCTGGTATAAATATCTCTTAGAGTATTCAATTTTACTCTATTGTAAAACAAGGATTGTCTTATAAAATTCTAATGGATATTCCTAAAACATTCTACAGAGAATGAAATTTATGAACAACGACATATATTTTACACTTTCTTAGCCTCTTCTCAAGTCAACTGCTCACACCTCTTTTCTGCAACAGGTTTTTATTTGCACTGGACAATCTGTTATTTAAAAAAGTATCTCGCACAGAATTAGAGATCTTTTTTGCTAAGACGTTCGACATTTAATCGCAAGTGAATATTGCAGATCTTAATCTTGTCTTCTTGACCATGCGGCGAATGGGGGAGACGTCGCTCTGTGTTAGAATTCATTGTGTGTTCAGCCGCCGAAAGTGGCTCAAGTTTAATTCAATAACACACTCAAATGGGTCGAGCGAGATCAATTGAACTGCGGAGGAAATAATTGATATTGACAGAAGAGCATTGCGTGAAGCAAATTGATTCCCATTTGTCATAATCATGAGCGAGGGAGAAGACATCTGGGTTGTGTGAATTCAGCAATTGCAGCGTGTGTGTAATCATATTAATTCGCAGTGAAATGCGCGATTTCTCGCGTTGGCCGTTTAATAAGAATTCACCACATCATTTTCATATTTCACTCAATGTTTATTGATCACTGTATTTGGCTGTGGTTTTCCATAAATTGTAAACAGAGTTTGCAGTCTTCGCGATTGGCAATTTAAGATAATTAGACGGAAATTGTGACTGTTTTTCTTTTCTGTTTCTCTCAATAGCCGGAATACTACAAAGATGCTCCACATTTCCATCGCGTGGGAGATGGTCCAGAGTACCGCTTAGAGATTCCCAGGGCGAAATTGGACTACACCGGAACATACTCAGTGATCGCTACAAATTTCCATGGAGAGGCCAAAGCAATAATTTCCCTGCAGATTTATGCCAAAGGTAAAAACAAAGAGATTATTGCGCGCGCATGTGAATTTTCTCTTTAACATCTCTCGCCGTGTCACAAAATACCAGAGATTTTTTCTACCTTATACGCGAATGTTGCGAGTGGGGAATGAAATGGAAATATATCGGCTAATTAAAAAATTATCCCGCATGGCATATCTTATTGGCTAATAGAGTGTTAAGAGAGAAAAAAAGACACGCAATTACGTCATTTATCTAATTAAAAAATTCTCTCGATGCCATTTGCAGATTTAGACAAGGTGAAAAGTATGGATAAAGGATCGATCAAGCACAGGTGAGAAGATTGAATTGCTTTTTCGGCGGATTTGGTGAGATCTTGTGCATTTTGCTTTGCAGCAATGTGGAGACATTGCCTTCATTCCTGAGCCACCTGAAGGACCTCAGATGCTGCGATGGCGACGCAGCGACGCTGGAGTGCAGAGTCATTGGACAGCCAGAGCCGAACATCTTCTGGGAGAAAGATGGACGACTGGTGCAGATGGGAAATGACTTCTCCAGCAAGTACGACGGAGAGAAGGCCACACTGTCGCTGGCCAGGATCTTCCCAGAGGACGAAGGTTCGTACACGTGTATTGCCTCGAACACAATCGGGAAGACCTACTCCTCAGCAGTCCTTATTGTCGATGGTAAGAATCCTGTAAATCCAATTTCAAGCCAGAATTCTCTCCTCACTTCTCACTATCCTTGTCAGTTCCTGAGGAGAAGGAGAATCTCCTGAGCAAGCAACTCAATCGTCCGCCTGGCATTTTGCTCTCTGCTCAATCAACTCCAAGATCCACGCCGCGAACGACGCCCATCCGCAGCAGTTCTCCACACCGCGTGTCCTCCATGTCCTTCAGGAGTCCCTGCATTGACATCACATCGTCGAAGCACCTCAAGTTCTCCGCGCCCAAGTTTTACGCCCTGCCGCAGAATAAAGTGGCCGAAGAGGGCGAAAATGTGCGCTTCCAGTGCGCAATCGCCGGCCATCCGACGCCCTGGTCCACATGGGACATGAACGGGACGATCGTGACGCCGACAGCGAGGATCACAGTGAAGGAGTGCGACGACCTGCGAATCCTGGAGATTGAGCAGGTGACTCAAGAGGACGCCGGGTTGTACAGAATCACACTCGAGAATGACTTCGGGCGCATTGAGGCCACTGCTCGGCTGGATGTGATCTGCTGTCGGGATCGATCGGCCAGAATGCTGAGGACGAGCAGTGCCTCGCCGAGACGCGCTGGCGTGTGGTCACGGAGACTGATGGGCAACAGCACGGCGATTGGAGGTCGTCTGGCGCTGGCGTGTGACTTCAGACGAGGAACTTCCACGCCAGCCCGGAAGTTCTACCACAACGGTGAGGAAGTGGAGGAATCGGAGAGGATAAAGATCGCAGACAATGTTCTGGTTGTGGACAATGTGACAGTGGAAGATGAGGGCATTTATACGTGTGTAGCTTACACAGAAGACTGCATCATGACAACCTCAAAGTGTGTGACTTTCGCCGACAATCCAGTGAATCCGCCACGAATTGTGAAATGTTTAACGCCCGAGGAAGCCCAAGACATTCGCACGTGCGAAGGAGCAGCCCTAGATCTTGAGCTGAGAGTGGAGTGCAGTGAGGTGTTTGACTACACGTGGTTCAGAGACGATAAAGCCATTCCCGATTCTGATGACATGAGGTGAGAGAGACTTTCTTGCAACCACATTTCACTTTCTACATAATTTGTAGTTTCGAAACAGAGAGAGATAAACATTATTCATGATGGTTCTTTCCATGGAAACAATAACGAAAGAGGATCATGAATATTTTATGACGAAAGCTTTGTGCCACAGGCATGAAGAGATTATGCGCATGAGTCAATATTGCTGCCTCTTATTTCCTTATGCATCTTCTTGATGTGCACATTAAATGGCAAGCGATTGTCGTCATTCCCAGGAAAAAGAGAGCCTTAAGACTAGATAAGGAGTCTAAATTGTCGTCAATCAAAATCATTAGTCTGTCGAGGCGTCAATCTATTTATGGCTTTGCCTTCTCTTAATGCCCAGATACATCGATCACGGAGATGGCTTGCTGGTGCTCAGCATCGCCGATCCATTCGTGCCGGACTCTGGCGTCTACAAGTGCGTAATCACCTCGCCGGCGGGTGAGTGTGAGTCCTCCTGTCCGGTGATCGTCACCGAGTGCACTCATGAGTCATCCGGCGTGTCTGAGCAGCCGCGGCCGCTCTTCTCGAAGCCACCGCTGCCAGTTGTCTCCCATCCGGGCGCCGAAGTGGCCTTCTCAGCGCGAATCTCGCCGCCTCAGTCGCGCATCTCGTGGTATCTCAACGGCCGAGAAATTGGGCAAAACCCTTCGGCGCATTTTCAGGTGAGTCAGAGTGGTAATTAAGAGAGAAATTGCCGGATAAAGAGAGAAATAAGTGTTGTTGAGGAGTCTGAAGGCCGTGAAACGAACGAGTTTGTATTGTAAACACCACCATAAAGTGTGTGTATGATTTCGTTGTGGAATTCCCTGACGTCAAATCACTCTCTTCAGCGTATCGCTTTTCTTATCCATTCTGGTATTGTGAAATATACAATTACCTTTGAGTTGCGGTGTGTTGTTCAGAGTCTCTTCTTTGTCACAACCCAACTGACTTGCGTGCGCTCTGCGCAAAGTACTCAAAGTGAAGAGATTTTCGGATTTAAAACAAGCTGTTGAAGAAATCAAGGATCAGAAGTGGGGCACTATCTTTGATTCTTTGGATTTCCTTGGATTTTCAAGCAAAATCAATAATAAAAATATTTTTTCTAGGTTATGTAACTAATTACGGACAGATTTCCAGTCATTGGTGGCAGAATTAGACATTTACATGCAATAAAAAGTCCTTTTCTGAACCTTTGACGCCATGAAACACTGCAAATTGTATTGAATTCGAACATAACCTCAAAAATAGTCATGTGAAATTGAAGGAATGTCCATTTAGAAATCTTTCTGGATGATTTTGAGTGTGAATTAGCAATTTTAAGATCATTGGCAAATCATAATGAGATTATTTTGTGATCTAGAATGCTTCAAAACGGAATTTTTGAGGTTATGGTGGGAAAAGACCGCCCAAAATGTGTTTTTAAGTCGATTCTTACGGAAAATTTGCATGGAAACTTAAGAAATTCATTATAATTTGGAAACAGTCTTTACAATCTTAAAAAAAAATTGTTTTCTCTCTGTATTTATTTATAAAAGTGTCATCTCTTAAATTAAAATATATCTCAATTTTAAAAATTGAGAAAAGATGAGAAAAAGTGAAGAGTTTGTGCTGATTACAAAGCTCTGTTTTCTACATATTTCTGGCATTTAAGTAAATTTTTCAACCTCATCTTTTCCACGTCATGGTTTCCAGCGGATTGCAAATTATCAATTGACTGAATAAATGGCTATCAGCGCTGTGAATCAACACTTGTAAATGCTAATAATTACGCGTGTAATCGCGACCGCTTGCGGCTGACGAATTGCCTCACGACGTTGCCAGCCGGGATGATCTCTCATGTGGCGATGTTTGATAAAAACCACACAGAGCGCGGCAAGCAAGGCAGCAAGAGTGTAGTTTTGAGCGCGAGACTTTGCAGGTGAAAAATATCGGAATTTCCTCAAGTGGAAATAGTCGATGGTAACAAATTCATAAGTTCGGTCACGGTAGTTTTTTTCCTCCTCTACTCTTTTCAGCCCACTTTCTCGGACTCTTCCTCTAAAACAGTTAATTGCTGGCGCAAAATGGGCAAAAAAAAATTGTTAAATTGAAACTGTGAGTGCGCGCTTTTGAGTGAGCATTTTGTGGAGCACAAACGTCCCGCATTTTCAACCACAGAATGTTCTTCAGATATCAGGGCATTCTCGAGATTTGTGTGCGCTTAGAGAGAGAGTCATTCAATGCAAATTTGTGTGCTTGTGCGGAAGGATTGGCGAGTGATTTGTGTGTTTCTCTCTGTCTTGAATTTTTGTAGATTGAGGAAGAGGAAGACGGTTTGAGTATTTTGCGGGTCATTGGGCTGCAGCACGATCACAGTGGGGAGATTAAGTGTGTGGCAGAGACGAGAGCCGACTGTGACGGAAGACACGACACTCAGGCCATTGTCTACACCAGCCTGGCCGTTCTCCCCGAGGTTCCGCCCAGTCAGTGTCCGGCGCACATCCTCAGCGGGCCGCAGGACTGCACGACGCTCATCGGCGGCAGGATTGTGCTGGAGGCTTTCTTCGCCGGCCATCCGGATCCGGCAGTCAAGTGGATGAGGGCAGTGAGTATGACCCAATTGATGCCAATGCACCAATCAATTTCAATTAATCCGTCAATTACTGGTGGCACGATTATGGGATCGCGCATGTGTCGTCTTGGCATCAGAGCCAGTTTCTAGCGCTCCTCAGCGTTTGCCACACAATTAGAGTGATCAGCGAAGCGGAGAGAAGTACCGTCGCGTCGCGCAAAATATTAGGGAAAATTACAGATGATCCGGCCACATAACATGTTCTCAAGATCACACAATTGCCACGTGAATTGCTGCAACCTCAATTTTCGTATTGAATTTCACTTGGTCATGATTCAATTTATTATATTCCGCCTGTCTCATTTTCATCCTCAGGGTCGCATCATATCTGAGACAAGCAACAAAACCATGAGCACCACAAAGGGACGCTCCGTGCTCTTGCTCACGGACATAACAGCCGACGACAGCGGCAAGTACACCGTAGAAGTGGCGAACGAACACGGAGGCGACACAGCGTCAGCCTCTGTGGCAGTCGAGGGTCCTCCAGAGCCGCCCGGAGGACGCCCCAGCGTCTCACCGGGCGTCGACAGAGTCGCCGTGGCGTGGTGTGGACCACCTTATGACGGAGGCTGCATGATCACGGGATTCAGGTGAGAAGAGCTGCGAAGCACTCTCAATCTTCGATCTTCACGATCTGTTTTCTTCTTCTCCTCAGCCTCGAGATGCAAGAGGATGACGCGGAATGGAAGGAAGTGGCTCAAGTTGTCGACTCCCTGGCATACACTGTCAAGGATTTAACGCCTGGATTGAAGTATAGATTCCGCGTTCGGGCAGAAAATACTCATGGGAAGAGCGAACCGAGTCTTGCCAGCGATGAAATACTCATGAACTCTCCAGACGTCACAGGTAAATGTGAGCTTTTGTGCCTCTCAGGTCGAATGGTAACTGAGCCTCTCTCGCTGCAGATGCGGAAAAGTCTCCGGTGGACGTGGCTCCTGGAGGGGACTTCAAGAGCCGCTTCGAGATGCTCGAGGAACTGGGCAAAGGTCGCTTTGGTGTGGTGTACAAAGTCGTGGAGAGAGACACGAGCAGAACTCTGGCCGCCAAAGTGATCAAGTGCATCAAGTCGAAGGACAGGGTGAAAGTGCAGGAAGAGATCTCCATCATGAAGTCGCTGCAGCATCCCAAACTCCTCCAACTGGCCGCCACCTTCGAGACTACCAAAGAGATTATTATGGTGATGGAATAGTAAGTGGTTTGCAGGCTTCTTCCTTGGGGATTCTATTGATTTTCCTGTCACATTTGCAGCATAACTGGTGGTGAGCTTTTTGAGAGGGTCGTTGCGGATGACTTCACCCTCACGGAGAGAGATTGCATCCTGTTCCTCAGGCAAATATGCGAAGGAGTGAGCTATATGCACGAGAAGTGTGTTGTCCATCTGGACTTGAAGCCCGAGAATATCATGTGTCACACGAGAAATAGCCACCAAATCAAGATCATCGACTTTGGTCTGGCTCAGCGCTTGACTGACAACACTCCAGTGCGCGTCCTGTTCGGGACGCCAGAGTTCATCCCTCCGGAGATCATCAACTACGAACCGATTGGATTCCAGTCCGATATGTGGAGCGTGGGAGTAATTTGCTACGTCCTGTAAGTCACAGCGGCACGAGGCATTTAATAAAGACATTAAGCCACTTTGAATACAATTAACGATAATGGCTGGTATAATGAATATCATTTACTAAATTTCTGACTTTCTCGTCACAGTTTATCGGGTTTATCGCCATTTATGGGCGATTCGGACGTGGACACATTCACCAACATCACGAGAGCCGATTATGACTTCGAGGACGAGGCATTCGACGCTGTGTCACAAGACGCCAAAGAATTCATCTCTGGACTGCTGATCCATCGCAAGGAGGAGCGCCTCACGGCGCAGGAGTGCCTCAACTCCAAGTGGCTCTCGCTCGAGAACGACAACATGAGCAATGTTAAGCTCAGCACCGACAAACTGAAGAAGTTCATCATTCGCAGAAAGTGGCAGGTGAGATTTGGTTGGCGAGTGTTTGCTTTTGCTGTGCTTTTACGTTCTTATTTTGCATGTTTGTTGGTGTGTTTTTTCGTTCGATGTGTGCGTGTAACAGAAAACTGGCAATGCCATAAGAGCTCTTGGCCGGATGGCGACTTTGTCGGCCAACTCGCGACGCAATTCTGCCGCCTCTTCGGCACCCAACAGCCCTCGACCGTCGATCTCCGGGAATCTGCTGGCCTCCCTCAGCAGTCACATGTCCTCAGTGCACGAGGAAGTGGATGACTTGGAGGAGAAAGCCACGAAGGTGCACTTCGATGAGCAGAAGAAGAAGCCGAACGGGGTGAAAGATCGCGCCTGCAGTGAGAGGAGTGATTCTGGCTTCAGCGAGTGCTCCACAAATTGCGGATGCGCCCAACCGACCACTAACAAGTTGCAGATAATCTTTGATATTGACGACAATGAGGAGAGCGTGCCCGAGGAAGCCTCAACGGGTGGCTTTTCGCATGAAGTTCTCACGTCGAAGCTGGAGAAAATCGCGGAGCAGCAAAAGGAAACTGGTTCCGTGGTGAAAAGTGATGCCAGTGACAAATCCTCGTCACTCTCGCCAATCAATTTGAGTCCCTTGAATGACTTGGAGTATGATATCAAGCGCTACAACCTCACCAACTCCATCCAGACGCGCAAGAAGTCCCTGGAGAGCAGCATGAGGAAGGACTCGGCGCCGCAATTGTCCGTGCCCATCATTCACATCAGTCCGGAGAAGAAAGTGTCGCATCTGAAGGAGAAGTTCGATGTGAAGGCAAGTAAGAAGGATATTCAGAGGACCAGAAGTCCCAACAGTCGTGTGTTTGCAAAGAATTCCGCAGGAGGATCTTCAAAGACTGGTAATGTTGTGTTGGTTTTGTTGAGAGCTCAACTTAAGTCACTGACGGTGGCCTTTAGCATTGGCATTGATAACTGACTGTGATTCTCTTGCAGATCTCACAAATCGAACCGCAGCAAACGCACCCAGTGCTGGCCGGAAGATGGGTGGGCTAAGTGCTAAGGTCAGGGAGGTGACAGAGCGCCTCTCGGCGCCCAAGAGACTCCCTGAGCAGTCCAGCAGGTCAAATGCGACAAACACAGCGAGAACGACGAAGAAACTCACACTCTCGCACGAGAGCTTCAAGAAAGCTTCAGCGTTTTGGAAGTCCTAGTCACGATTAAGAGATTGCAATGTCCTTTTTCTATGTCCTGTATTTTATCCGCAATTTTTTAAAGTGTTACTGTTTCGTTCTTTTGTCTGACAATAAATCCTGATGGAGAAAATATATGACAAAATTTCTCACATTTGCAATCTTTATTTCTTGTCTCGTCGCTGTAATTGAATCCAAAATCCTCCAGATGATCTGAAATTGACGTGATAGGCTTCAGGACTGTCTCTCATGAGAGACAAATGCGAGAGCAACTCCAGAACAAGCATGAAGAAAACGAAAAACTTCAATAGAACAAGTGACGAACCCGCGATGACGTGAATTCAAGTGATTTTCGTGTTTTGAATTCATACAACATGACAATTAATCATCAAGTGTGATGAGGAATTTGGAATAGGAAGGAACGTTTGCCTAAAATGTCGAGCAATCTTAGGTATCGAATAGATTTATTCTACTCAGAATGAATGAAAAGAAAGCGAAAAGACTGAGTAATCATGCAGCGAACAAAGTTGTCTTTGATTCGAAGATTTTCCGATATTTATGCCATTAATATTTATTCTTCGTCACTTTGCTTAAATATTTCGGTGACGTTAGAACTAAAATTCCCTGCGCATTGCGAAATATTTTAAAATATACAAATGAATTAACAAAATAACTGATGAATAAAGTTTATTTAACACGGGAAAAGTTGTGTGAGGGGAAATTTATTGTCTAAATAATGTATGACGTTGTTGTATGATTGCTGAAGGTGTGTTTCAGTTTGCGAATGATTCGCTTGCTAAGTCGTCAAGCACAACCAGTTCCTCCCGGACAGAGATCACTAGCAAAGAAAACTAACCACAGGATAACTAAAGCAGTAGATGAAACATTGCAGAAAGCTCTTTTGAAGAAGACACAATTGATCTGAGAAAACCATGTTTTTCCACAGATTTTGTCCAGATTAAACCGGGAGAAAAACTTCAATTTTTCAAGAGAAAATAAATTACACTACACAAATATTATTACTCGCAAATGGTTAAACAACTACTGTGTACAAATTTCTCCTTAATTCTTTAACACCGTGCTTAGAGAGAAGTGCAGAAGCTGTTAAATCTTGTCCCGCCGCTCTAGCCGGATCCAAAGTCCGCCTGTGGCTCTGAGAGTGACGCGGAAAGAGGGATGAAGAGCCTGCTTTCCCTCCACTGAATGCAGCGTGAAGTGCCTCAGGATCTTCGAGATGACAGTCTTCATCTCGAGGATGGCAAATTTGTGTCCTATGCAGTTGCGAGGTCCGGCACTGAATGGCAGGAAGGCGTAAGGATTGCGTTTCTCCACTTCTTCCGGCAGGAAGCGATCGGGATCGAACTTCTCCGGGTCGGGATAGATGTAGGGCAGCCGATGGATGGCATAGGGGACGATGAAGATGTGACTTCCGGCCACGAGATTGTGCTCTCCAATGCGCACGTCCTCGCCCAGACGCCTGGCCAGGAGTGGCACGCTGGGATACAATCGCAGGGTCTCCTTAATGCATTGCTCAAGATAGCGCATTTCTCTCAAATCCCTCATAGTTGGCGCTCGAGTGTCCCCGTCGAAGATGGAATCGATCTCCTCGATGCACTTCCGCTGGCACTCGGGATTCTGCGCCAGCATGAAGAAGCTGAACGCCACGGCGGCGCCCACGGAATCCTGACCGGCCAGCATGAAAGTGCACGCCTCGTTGATGATGTCCTCTTCCGTGAACTCCGGCACTTGGTCGGAAATGTCGATCAGGTAGTCGAGAAGACACTTCCTCTCGCTAAGATTGCCGGATTTCTTGGCTTCGCGCCGAATTTGAATCATTTTGCGCGTGAAATTGTCCAGTTGTTTCTTCTGATTCAGCTCAGAAGCCGCTGTGTCCGTCATCTTGTACACCCAGTTCAGCAAAAGCCACGGACGTGTCACGCGATAAGGCATCACGACTTTTCCTCTGAAAAAAAAAGGTGTAAATTGTGTCTAAAATAGCGCCTGACCTTCTATTGCAGCTAATTGATTGAAATTCTTATCTAAAATGTACCAAATTGTTAATTGTTTTCACTAGCTCATAATAATCTTGGCCCTCTTTTGCCCAGACTGTGTGCTATCGTAAATCTTCAGCCCATCGAACTGAGAGAAGTTGGCGCGAATGAAAGAGTTCAATGATATTGGTGAGAAAACAATCTACCAATGTTGCTAATCACGTCCAATTTACCATGAAGGTGAGAGATGTTAAGCAATTTGATAGATTCTTGAATCAATATTTGTAGGCAAGATACTGGGAAATTGAGCGTTTGAGAGTTGTCTTTCAAGCTTGGAAAATTGTCAATTTGAGTGTTCTTAGCGGATATCATCTGTAGATTGTGCTAAACAAGGTGTCAAAGGTCACGAAACACTCGAGATAATTTCAAGATCAAGGGAAAAAGATGATGTTCAAGTGGCATTTGCATTTTCTTTTGCGTGTGTGTGAGGAGAAAAAAACATGAAGAGGTTTGCAATTATATTCGTGAATAAAATATTGTGCAAATTCAGTGTGCTAATTGATGTTGCGCGCTTCTTATTTGCCCAAAAACCACGACACTTGTCTTACAGATCATCATTTCCCGGACGATGTTTAGCCAAGGAATATTCTGTGCAAATCAATTTGTAAATTAGCAATTTGACTAAGCATTTCGCCAAAAATGATTGTTTGATCAGCATTATAATTGGCAAGGATTGCCGAAATTCTCTTCATCATTTTCCGTATGCCAATGACGAAGACAAATGTCATAACCTTTTCTTACCGTCAATATGCATGGATACAAGTATGTCTTTATCTGTTTGTCTTAGAATATTTACACGCTTTTTTCACATTCATATTGATATATTCATTGACTCAAGTATTGCGAAATTCACATGAGTTTCTCTTTGCAAAAGTGTGATTTTAATCACTTTTCGTCCCAGAAATGAATCCAAAGTACCTTTAAATAAGGCATTTTGATCAAAAAGCAATTGCACAGCAACTTGGCATGCATAAATTATTGACTAATTGATGTTTTTTGGGGGAAAAAATCGTTTACTCACTGTCTAAACGGAGATTTTTCCATGTCTTTGTCTTTGCGAAACACTGGAACGCCCAGAACCGCTTCTACAGATCATAAAAAAAATGGTGTGAACTATTGCGTGATGGAAACTTCCGACAACTCACCATTCAAAATGTCGAGAACGCAGTTGTTGACAAAGTCCGTGATGTTGATTTCGCCCTCAACGGCCTGGAATTTGTCCAGAAGACACTGAGAACTGTCATTGAATGTGCCGATGAACTTCTCCAGGATGTTGAGATGGAAGCTGGGCTGAATGAGTTTCCTATGAACGCTCCATTTATCTCCACTGCTCGTGATCAAGCCGTTGCCGAGGAAATTGTGGAGGAGTTTGTAGAAGAATGTCTTGCCAGTGTGCTTGCGCGAGGACAGGATTGTCTGCAGATCCTGCGGATCGAGGACAATGAAGGCCGGCACAATTGTCACCCAGATTCGGATGAGTGTGCCATATAAGGAGAACGCCTTCGCCGCATCGTTTGCCATAACTAAATTAAACATCTCATGTTAATTGCGATAATTTCTGCACGGCATGTTGACTGAGTTGCACAATTGTCACAGTATCAACAGTGCACCTCAATGGCCTGAATTCGGTCGTGCGCGCTCACCATTCTTGTCGCCGATCATCAAGATGTTGCCGATGAAGGGAATCGCCGGCGGCCCGGGAAGCTTCAGGGCGACGAACAGCAGCTTCAGATATCCAGACAGGGCATAAATGAGACTTCCGGCGACGATGATGGACAAGTAGCTGAGCAGCTCTAGATTGTAGGCTCGGTCAAGCTGCAAGCGAATGAAAGACTTCAATTGGACAGGCGACAAACCCGCGGCGAAGTGAAATTGAAGGTGACGACTGAACGATAACTGCGTGATTTGAATCGATACAGCGCGATAATGTGTCAGCGATGTCTGATGGTGTGGCAATTGATTTTGAGGGAATGTCTTGGCAGTGTGCGATTTCCCAGGTGCGAAAGAAAGTGCTAAGCAGATGAGCAAACACCCAAGTTTTCCATCGATTTGGCGGCAAAGGGGCCACTGTGTGGATTGTTACTTCATTGACACAATAACTCACATCGCTGAACTTGAAAAATATTTGCTGTACGCGATGGTCTGAGAATTTTTCTGCACCAACGCAACAGTCAAAGAGTTCAGAAACGCGTGTATTTATGTTACTCATTAAAATTGCAAACCATCAAGACAAATTCACTTGAGCGTGTGAACTTGTAGTCGAGGGGCGAATGACCCTGTTTGCTGCACTGCAGAATTAATTCTTCCACAGAAATACACACAAAATGTGTTGTCAAGAACTCTCGAGAGGAAACTTCTTCACTCTACAACACATTTGAAGTGTTGATCTCAAACTCAGTAAACATCATTGATGGTGTTCAGGTGCTAAGAACTTGTTTGAGATCTGATTTTTTGCCATTTCAGTATTAATTGTTAAGTAAAATATTTTTCTACCCATACAAAATTACCTCTTTTTTAGGCATTATCACTGGTTTGGAGCATCAAAATGATGTGACAAATGATAATTCATCCTTTGCATTCACAGCTGTAAACCCCTCGGCTTCATGAAGCACAAGGTATCTTCTTCACGAATCTCAATCACAAATGCAGAATTTCTTCACAATCCAACGTATAATTCGACTTTCGACGAGCTTTCGTGATTAGGTGAAAAGAAGATTTTAATTATTCCCTTGATTACTCCCTTCTTCAGTGGGAAATTGGGACGATTCTAAATATCTGCGTTTTTCATGTTAAAAAACACACACACAAGAGCTTTAATTGCACATAATTGAGTCCCAATTGATGTATTCCATCAATTATAATGGATTTCAGAGCGATGTTTTGGCGGTCTTTTAGCACATTCGTACTAATTGGCGATTGATTCTGCAAGAGTTGCATTCAGAACAACACTTTTAGCGTGTTTGTCTCATTAGAGTTGATCATTCATATGGGGAAAACTGACCTCTCTAACAAATTAAACCGAATTCACACTGACCAATAGAGTAGCAAAAGTAACATCCTCACAGATTCTTCTAGCAAATTATTTTAAATTAAATTTATACTATATGATATTATAGTTAATTTTAGCACTTTTGTCGCAGCACGGATGTTCAGGGTGATTTTTTTGCGCCAAAAACTATATCATCGGGAAAAAAAACGTCCACCAAGTGCGAAGTATTGAATTGAACTGAGTGAGAAGCTCAGCAATTTGCTTCAATTTCTATTCAACGCAGATTTCCACGGCAGATTTTGACTGTAGATGATCAAATTATTGACATCACGTTGCCAATTGCTTCATGAGCATTTTCACATGGGCGCACAAATAGCCGCGAAGCTCCTTTTGGTCGGTGGTTCAACAGCACATTCATCTTCACTACACATTCGCACACGAGCACAGTGAGAGTGAAAGTCCTTTTTTTTCTCCTTACCGTCTGATGCGCAACCATGGCGAATCCTTTGCAGATTGCGGCTCTCCTGAGATTATATCCTTGAAAGAATGCTCGAGCATTCGCGGAAAATCCACAGCAGAGCAAAAGAACACCTTTTCTCAAGACACTGGGAGAAGAATCACAGCAGTTTTCCACACTTTTCCATGCGCGTCTCTCTCTTTGGCGGTTTGGCTGATGAGCAAGTGGAGACGCCTAAGCGCGAGCGCTTCCTTTTATATTATTTCGCGCTGAGATTTGTGGTGGGGCGCGGACTAATGGTGTACCTAATGAGGCTGGTCAACAGAATCTGTTTGTTCTGGGTGGTCCAGCCCAGGAAAGACTGCTCTCACCTGGACAAATTCACATTTCTTCTCTCGCAGGCGCTGAATATCCTTCGTCACGCGTTTTTTTCTCTTCTTCTTCCTCTTCTAATCTCTCCGCGCACGTCACGACGAGAGAAAACAATGATTTCCTATTCTTTGTTAATTTTCGGGGGGGAAAAAAAGAAACTGTTGACTGTGTGTCGGAATGACTGAATTTGTGAAGAACTTCGTGCAAAATATTTTTCATACCTATTTCGCCGAGAATTCATTTTCCATATCGCAAATAGTGTGGTCATGATGCAAATGTGATGAGTGTCACGTGTAAATTTGACGATTCCTTCAATATTTTTCAAGTGATTTTCTAAGAACATTTTCTTCACTTTGCCCACATTCAATTTATTCACTTTATTGCATTACAGACAAGATTGCAGACCAAACATTAAACTTTATGTCGCAGTGATGAAGCTTTTGTGAAATTATACATTCAATTTTCCATACTAAAACTCTCACAAATTTTCATCTTAGAGAATTACTTGAGAAAACCTGATGGAAAATGAATTGCTTCAGATTTATATCACACGCACTGTTTAAAATTCTACTGAAACTTCTAAGCTTTCTTAGCTTTCGGAGTTTATGCAATTAGAATTAGAGCTTCTTCTTCTCTTTTCGCCATAAATATTAATTTCACGTCAGAAATAAAGAAATCTTGGAATTTATTTCGAGTTCACGGTTTTTTGCAATCTTTTTCTATCATCTTAGTGAATATTTGGACAAAGATTTTCTAGGTTAGTCGAGATTTATTGTGTGGCTCAATTCAAGTGCATATTGAAACCGCTTTAGTTCAATAAATCAATCCTGTAAACACACTTTCGCTCTAATGTTTTTGACAAAGTTCAAAGCTCTCAGTTTAAAAACTATTAAGTCACTGGCCACATTAATTTTTTTCCTGTTAGATTTCACGACATTTCAAGATATCTTAGTCACAATGAGTTGTATTTTGCAGTGTGAAAAATGTTTTGCATCATTGCATCACAAGCCATAGAATATTATGCAAATTTACACACTTTATTCATAAGCAAATAGTTCATTCTTAAGAGAATATTCAATAAGTGCCTTATTTGGCAAATAAATCATCTTTTGCGTTGGTTTTTTTGAGATGAAATCAATTGTCGCGAACCGTTAGTGAAAAGGAAGTTCAACAATTCCTTGCCTAAAAGATATTCTGACTCTTCAAAAGACACTTGACTTTGGTCCAAGACGTCCATTTATTCGTTCGACTGAATAGAAATTCGGTAGACAAAAAGGCCTCTTGAGTGGCGATTAGAAAAAGACGACAAACAATGCATCTTCCATTCAGAGGGTTTTCTTTGACTTTTTTTTTCTTGAAGATGGCATTCTTAAACCATATTTTGTGCGCAATTCATTCCGCCAAAGTTCCCATAAATTATCGCTGAAAGTGAAGTGGTGAAAAAAAATGCACGTGTGAGACAAGACAGGGCGATAAACTCCCAAAGGAAGATGAAAGTTCTTTGGAAAACTATTGTCAGGCTTGCAAGCCATCAGATTTGAAACAATTTTAGCAGTACATAGCGAAATCGGAAAAGTATATGAAATATCAATTGAGTGCGATATTTCACACTCTTCTGCCATTCTCAGGTGAAAAAACGCGATCGTCAACAGTAAAATCGGTTTATTATTCCATATGACAACTTGAAAGAATCCCATAAAATTTGCCTTTTGGTCAAGATCACCAATATTTACCCTTGACAACGAAATTGTGATTCTTTACCTTGTTCTTTGCCGCCGTCGAAGAATTTGGGTTACGAGGCTGAGAGCTTAGTTCCCAGGAAATACAAGTCATTTGCAGCGGATGTGAAGGTTTAATTCAAATTAGAGGTATAAAATCGTTATGAAACATTACATTAATAAGTAGAGTTGGCATTTTTATGCAAATCCACGATGAAATGAATAATTTTTTGGCATCGATTAGCCAATTGTTGATTGATATTCACAGAAATTTCACTTAATTTGAATGCAAAAGTTCTTTGATGGCTTTTTTGTGTGACACAATTGCAATTTCCAAATTACAAGGTTGTGAATTGTACATTTTGGCAGCGAATTGAGAAGCTTTTCCCTGATAAGCAGAAGTTTTCAGTGAAAAACTCTTTCATTTTGAAGTACATTCTATTAATTACTTGCCATGATATTGACCATTTGTAAAGAGTTTCTATTCAAATTCATCTCTTCCACTCGTCGTCAGGTGTTGGCTTAGCGAGGAAGACAATCAATTCCACCTGCAACTCTTGCTTTAAGCCGCGAAGTAGACTAAGAAACGACAAATACAACAATAATGGTTACGAAGACTCGCGAAGAGCACAAAAACCTTTCTCTTTTTGCGATATCAATCACCTACAATCAATAATAATAGCAGCAGATTTAGGAGCATAAAAAGTTTTATTCAAACCTATTAATCTATTTTTCGTCTCTTGAGACGTGTTATTTGCGCCATTACTTTGCATTATCATAGTTTAAACCAGTAATACCAAATAGAAAGAAGAATGTTTATTCTCACATGCCAATGCTTGACCAAATGATTCACCACACTTTTCCACGCGATCTTTTTCAACGATTTTATAATCTGGTTATTATGACTTTGTTGTGTCCTCTAATCGGCTAGAATTGAGATTTCTTTCTTCTCGAACAGACTAAAGAGTGGCTCAATGAGATTCAGTACAGAAAGCAGCTTCCAGAGCAGTAATCCACCGAGAACGATCTTCGTCGTCAAATCCAGCACGTACAATCTAAGAGATTTGATTGAGAAGATCAATATTTTCTTTTCCTAATCAACAATTTTGCGAAAACTCACGCTTTCAATTGCATTCTGGCCTTTGGCAGAGACGTTAGAGGTTCCTTCAAGCAATACTGACGACCGCCCAAAATGACTTTCTTGAGGTATTCAACGTTCTCCACAGTATCCATATCCATTGTAAATGTCCTTTCATCCAGTGCATTCAATTTGCCTGGCAATCCCTGAAAGTTTTCCGATCGGAAATCCCATTTCCGCGTCGTGAAGAATTGCAGAACTTCCAGGCCGTCCGAAATTCTAGTCTGAACTCTCACCATGCTGGAAAATGAATGGAAAAATTGCATTACAATTGATAATGACATCTCAAGGATTGTGACTTGAGTCTGAGGAACTAGAATAAATCATTTTCTCGCTAATTTGCATTGAAAATATGTCGTATCAATTGCAGATAAACATTGTAATTTAGTCCACACTGTATAAATTCATTGGAAGCTGTTTTGCAATCCTATTTATTATCTTTTATAGTCTTCAAGTCAGTAATATATGCGTGAGGTTTGACTTTACGATCAGCATCTAAAGAATATTCCTCGTAAAAATGTTTGGGTTTTGTTTTTTAACCACACTGTTCACTATTTCCCACAATTATAAAACACTGCTTGGAAAGTCCTAACGCGAAAGCAATATAACTTAATCTTTCGTTCACCGGTTTTTTTTTCTTGAGGCCTTGGATCATTGTGAAAAAGCTCCAAACATGTCACTTTCCGGCTTATGCAAGATTACGCTTTCTTTCGTGTTTTTCACAACCAAAAAGAGGATCGAATTGAACATGCGAAAGAGCATGAATATCAATCAAAAAATCCCCCTATAATGTTAAATGCAAACTAGAAATAGTAAAACTGGAGAAATAATAATTTTGGGCAAGTTATGGTAATCTTATGACACTCTATAGAGTGAAAACATGTTGGACATTTCGTCCGTGACACTTTTTTCCTCTCATTGTCGGAGATTATTGAAAGATTTCTTACTCCATCCATTTGTGGGACACACACACAACTTATTGCACAAATGGAGAGCGTTTGAAAAGAATTAGCTGCTGTTGTTGCAAAGAAACGCACAATCTCTTTGATCGTGCCAAATACTCAATGTTGTCATACTCACAATCTCTTCTGTCCGAACAAGAACATGAGGAAGTCAATGAGGTACGCGGGAATCCAGTGGAAGAGGATGACAGAGAGTGTGTGGACGATCTTGTTGGTCGTTATCGTGCCATTGGGATACCAAACGCCCGCCTCGAATGGATACTCGTAGGCCACTTTCTTGCCCAACTCCAGAACTTCGCCCCAAGTCACCTTCTTCCCTTCTGTGCACGTGATATTGTACACTGGGATGTCTTTCCGCCTGGCGAAGAAAAATGGACATTTGCCATCAAATGCCAGAGATATTAAATGCATCGAGCTTACTTGAAGGCGGCCTGTCCTTCGGTGTAGGCGATCGTGAGCAGACCATTGATGGCAATGTCCACGGGAATGACTTCTGCGCGATACTCTCCGTTGCACAGCATGGACCTGATGACTCCCTTCGCGCCGCCGATCATCAGCCCAATGGGCCCATTGAGACTGTCCACCCAACCGGGCAGAGGCTCCTCGTTGGCCGGGATGACTGCAAAAGAAACCCGCTTTCAGTATGCAAATTCCTCAGCCAGTGTCATTAAGACCGCCTCACACTATTGAGCAATAGTTTGTATCAAATAAACTTTGCTGAAATAAAGCAAGTGATCGTATTTCAAACTAACCAGTCTTTGCATGGAATTGATTATCTACCTCTTTGCATTTATTCAAGACACAATTAGGAAAGATTACATTCATTAAGTGTGAAGCATTTGTGGACGAATTTCCTATAAACATGTCACCGTAGAAAGGCCATAAAACTTTGTCTAACATGTCAAGTGCTTACACTTTGAGTGTTGAACCACTTTCATTGTTGCGCAAATATATAATTGAATTTTGTAAAGTCATGTTATCGATGCAAAATTGTTAAAGATTCAGTTACAAAAGAGGAGAAAAACACCTTTCATCCCAATAGCGACCTTTATAGTAATTCCAGCCATAACCATTTATTCAATTATCTTCGCTTTTGTGACTTTACAAGCACTTGGAAGCCCTCTTGGCGATTTATGGCAGATTATTACACGGTAAATAGACGCTCGAGTGCGGTGTGCATGAATAAATAATAGCGATATCTTGCCGGTAAATAATAATTTGTGTGAATTTTCAAACACCCACTCTATGATCAATTAACACTTTGCATCTCATCGCTGGTTGCTTCAGAGACAAAAAACATTTTGATCAATTCAAGATACTTGCATTGAGGAAAACGAGTGTCTCGAAAAGAAAACCATCAGGAAAATTTCTCCAGCCTCTCAGTGTGCAATTAAAATTGCACTTTATGATCGATCTTAGGTGGTTGAGAAGAACACAGAAGAGGTGTTTCTCGCTCACTTTGCACAATAGCACGCGATCTATGGCTTTATTCAAAAGCGCATATTCTTTGGCCGCCAGTTACTCCTCGCGTATTTGAATGTTGGCTTCAAAACTGGGTATATACGAAGTCTTGGGCAATCCGCCTTATTTTGTGGCTCTGGTGCAATTTCATATTAAATGTGTGTGTGTTTCTGCAGCTAAAAACACTCAGCGAGAGCAAGCGAGATGGTTGCAAAGTCTTCTTGTACTTGAGGAAAATTCAATAAATAAATCGCATTATGTGCTGCAATTTTTGCCTCTCCCTCCTTCCCTGCTTCTGCATTTTCTTCATGCCAACACACCAAAGAGTGCAGGTGAAGATCATCAAACCCACTTAATCTTAAGCTCAAATTGTCTCAATCGCTTGGGAGAAACACGATCATTACGCTGAATTGCATTTGAATGGCGTTTGCAAAGAAAGTCAAAGTTTTGCAACATTGGCCAAAAGCTTCGCCCAAAGTCTTAGCCAAGGTGTCTTATGGTTTTTTATCACTCCCCTCAGTGTGTTTATTTGCCACTTGACGGCATTATTGTTGTTAAAGCGATATTAATACAATGTAATTTCGCTACTATTACACACACTCAAAAGTCGTCACGTGATGAAGAAACACTTAATCGTCTTATGTCCAATGCGAGACGCTTCTTCATTCGTCATCACACACTTTTTGCTTGTTACTTTATCTCATTTTTTCTTTACCTATAAATTTGCAATAAAACAAATTGCCGGTTCTTAACTAGCAATACAATTTATGAGCAAGATTTCCTGTTCAATTTCATGGTCAGTTTCGATCTTAGGATTAGGAAAAAAAAATTGCCCACAGTAAAAATTTCAATAAAATGAAGCAAAATATGCAATGAAATAAAATATTTTATGCAATATGCAGCCATATGAAATAGCGTATAAATTTTCCTTCCACTTTCCAACGGTTCGCGTTGGCTTAGGGAAACAAGAAGAGACAACTTTGCTGTATTTTTCGGTGTGCATTTCGCACTGACTTGAGCAAGTTTTCTGCAAATGTTTGACCCATTTATTCATCGGTGGTATCTTCAGTTTATATTCACGCCAGCTCATCGAGATCCGACTGTTGTGCAACAATTACTATGGTGTCGTTAACTTGCACAACGAGTATTGAGTTTCCTGTTCACCAGCAACCATATTTTCGCATGAAAATGTAAACAGATTCGCTTTTCGCGAGGCAGAAAACAACAATTTGCGATCGTTGACCAAAGCGAGATTTGCCTTTTCTTGCACACTTGTGGCTTTACCATTGGAAAAAGAAGAATTCTGCACGCGTGTGGCAAATTAATTGTTTTGTCCATTGTCTCAAAGAGTGCAAAAACGGCATATTAAAAAAATCTAGCACCTTGAGAAGGTTCAATCGTCAGATTTGCACGCTATTCCACTCATAATTTGTCTGTCTTCCCACTAAAAACGCTGTTTTGCAATTTGTACACAAACGTGGGAACGAATTTGAACACATAAGAAATGGCTCAAGTCTTATTATTAATAAACGATTGAAATTTTCAGTGATTAGTTTTGGTAGAAACACACAGAAAGAGATTCTCTTTTTTCTCTATCGTCCGAATTACTCAATAATGAGTGAAAAAATGGCTTTAAAAATGCTAAATCATGTCAAATACACATTCTACTAACAAACTAAGTGATTGCAAGTAAAGAGAATGTAAATACATATTTGCATACTGCGGTTAAAATACTACCCGTAAATTCCAAGTTCATAATTAAATGTCAAAGGTTGAATCCTGCGTAATTAAAACCCCGCCCAGGGTTATTCGTTAGGAGTTTTCAATGCAGCCTTAATCACGCCAATCGCCCTCACGCACAGATATTGACTCCAGAAGGCAAATAACTCGCAACACTCACTCTTGCGATGAAGTACAGAGCCTCATTTGAATTTAGCTCATTATTTGCAAACATCTTTCTGAGTATTTATCCATCTCATCATCACGTATAGAATTCAATGAAGTGATGAGCTCAAGTGTTTAGGTGAAGAACAGCAGCATTGCGAAATTTGAACGAGAAGAGAATGTCAGATTTTGAGTGAACTTTTCAACTTTCGCCAATTAAGTCACAAAGAAATTATTTCATTGCGATTTCATGACATGTGCCATTGATATTTGGGAAAATATCACAACTATGGATGAGTTATTCAAAGAGATGAACAGATGCCGTAAGATTCAAGGGATTGAAGAGGAAAAGGAAAGTGTTATGTTCCGAAATCCAGTCAGTAAAGTGTCTTTTAAAGCTTTCTATCTCTCAAAATACCAACTCAGTGTTCATCAAGATCATTCATTCGCATATTTTAGCGCCCATAAAGCGCTTAAAGCTCGCAATAAACTCACCGATGCTCGGCCTGGCGATGACGACAGGTAAATTCGGGTACTCATTGCGCACGAGAATCTCCGCGAGGCGCTTGGAATAGGTGTAAGTGTTGGGATGTGGCGTGATGAGGTTCGGCGTGATGTTGTCCATCATCTTCTCGTCCATCCACTCGGCGCAGCGCATCAGGTCGTGCGGATTGTGCGGGCACTCGTACACCTTCTCGTGCAGGACCTCCTTGTCGCAGTAGCAGAAGGCCGTGGACAGGTGCACGATGACTCTGAGATTGCTCATCTTGCGGCACAGATCCAGCACTCTCTTCGTGCCCGTGGTGTTCATGTCGATGGCATCCTTCAGCTTCGCCTCCAGTCGCAGCGTGGCCGCCATGTGGAAGACGATGGAGGTGTTCTTCACCACTCTCTCGAGAGTGTCGCCACTCAGGCCCAGGCCGTCGAAGGTGACGTCGCCCTGAACTGGCACCAGCTTCTTCAGCACTTCCGGCTTCTCCTCGCGAATCCGCTGAAACATCTGCAGAGCAAAAGCGAAACTTTCTTTGCAATTTCCGCGAATTTAGTGCCAGATTTTTGCTGGCAAAGAGAAAACACACAAAAAGTCCCTGATTTTTGGGTGTAAAACTAGAGAGAGAGAGATTGCAATTGAGTGTGGCGCAATTCGAGAGACACCTTTCAACATCTCAAGTTCCAGTTTAAACGGTAATTTTTTACCCATTCAAGCAAATTCAACCGCTCAAGTCTTGGTCAATTTTTGATGTAATTCTGGAGTACACATTCGAGGTGTTTGACTATTGATCTGAGGAAATTGCGTACAAGACAATGCGTCGTGCGAGTGAAGAGCTCTAGAGTGGATGAAATGCTCAAACTCTCTTAAGACATCAACGCGCAGCACCAAAATTTCCCTCTGCACACTTTTGATCGATTCAATGGGTAAATAAACAGTGTTTTAGTGATCCAACTCTTCCCGTCTGTTTGGAGAGAGTCACACTTCGCGTGAGTGTCGGAGGAGAAAAAAAAGTTTCAATGGCTGTTTGGCCATTGAGTTTTGTGAAAGAGACTCACGGGAAGCTTGAACATGTCCTCAAGACGAGACTCCGGAACACGTCCGCGCTTCGGGCGCATCAGGATGAAGATCTCCTTGATGTCTGAGCAGGAATAGAGCAGCTTCTCCACCAGCACCTTGCCCATGAAGCCCGAGCCGCCCGTGATGAAGATGCTCTGGCCTTTGTAGTATTCGTTCATCTCCGACTTTCCGGGCGCCTTTGGAGTATTCATGTCTCAATCTCTGTACCACCTGCAAGACAGCAAATCACGTGCATTTTAAAAATTTGCGCACAAATCAATGTCAAGTTTGTCGATAAAACTATCATTTATTATCACATGAATGAAAGAGTCATGAAAAATTTGAAGATCAGATAAAAAAACCGTCGTTATGCAACGGCAAATGAGACGAAATTAATAAAGCGACATGAATATTTAACCAGACATTCAATGAGAATAGGTTTTTGTGGTTTCGCATCACAGGTGAAGAAAAAAAAATCGTAGGCAAAATGTGACACAAAATTTCCATATTTTTTTCCCCCGAGTGTTAACAGTGTTCATGCAAGTGAAATGAGCCAATAAATCATTACACAAAATGAGCTTAAATATTATTCCATTGAACAATCTTCGGCGAGACACTTTTTTTTATAGCTTTTTGGGGGTTTTCTCAATTTAAAACAGGGACTCAGCAAAATGCCAATAGTTGGTATTTTGCAGAAAAAAAACTGCATTGTTTTATGTGATTTATTAGCATTTAATGACGCGCAAAGCCTGGCAAATCAGGACAAAACACAGCGTTTGATTTCATCATTCACATAAAACCTCATTTTGGATGGTTTCAAATTTGAGATCGCGCGTAATTTTAAACCTCTCTCTCTCTCTCTCTGAAGTATTGTTTCACAAATCACTAAAAACCATTAAGATTTAAAACTCAGCTGAGTAGAGAATTATCTGTGAAGGAAATCTATTGAAATTGGAGAATAAAATATGTAATTATCCGGCTTCTTCGGCATTTTCTCAAGTTACCAATATGTTTGACATTCCCTTTTGCTGGGCTCAGAAAGTAAATTCATGGGATTATAAAGCACTTTTCGCGCACTTTGCTTCACTGACTTTTGTAAGAAGCTCGCACAAAAAGACTTTCTATTTCCCATTGATTTAGGCGACACTAGCGGAAAATCACCGTGTCATCCATTGTTGTCGCCAAAATAATATTAAATTAATGCTATTTGCTCTGAGAGAGTCTCATGAAATCATCTTCCACAGCTTTGAAGGCAGTTATTAGCGCGAAACTAGTAATCGACTTTAGCATTTCCTTTTGATTTATTTTCCTAAATCTTCAAATCAGACATGTTTTTTCTCTCTAATTACTGGTGAGAACTCGTTATTTCAATTTTGACAGCAATAATTTTAGACAGACTAAGACAAGAACTCCATCAAAAAATGTGGTTAATTTATTATTCTGAGAATTTTGAGGAGAAAAAAAACAGCTTCTTGATGATCTTCTACATGATCGTGCGCTAATCTGAAGAAAAAACGTGTTCACTTGAGTTCAAGGTGAATAAATTATATTTATGTGTGGGTAATTATTACACCATCAATTGGTGTGGAATTGAGCGAGAAAATAAAGGAAAAATCTCCACGGAAAATTTAATGAAAATGTTATTTTTTTCATGTCTACAATTTAATAATTCTCTATGATGATTTGGCAATTTTGCAAATTCATTTTGGTCAATCATTCAATCGCTACCGGTACTTGGCGTACAAATTGCAATTACTTGAGCTAAACGGAAAGTGTGTGAAATCAATTGAGTTCTTCGCCTCATAAATGCAAAGATTGACTACAGACACTTGACATTGTTCCATTGCAAGCACAATAGAGTCAAAGCTCAGCTAATTTAGTCATCATTCAGTGTCTAAACACTCTTTTTGTTGCAATTTGCACTGTAACGTCACGTGAAGTTTATGACTATGTTATTATGTTTGTGGTTTTCATTGCATCAATTGATGCAATCGATCTTCAGGTCTTTTCAAGACATTAATAGCCTAATATAATAGACGCTAGGAAAACCCAATTAATCTATCTTTAAAGCATCGAGAGAAGATAAAAAAAGTTACCCAACGAATTTATTCAGGATAACAATCTGAGAGAAAACCAACATTTTCAGGCATTCTTTTCTTTCACTTTGTTTTGTGCTCGTGTTGCTCAATAAACGAATTTGAGAGAGAGAGAGAGTTTTACGCGTTTTACGAGACTGATATAAATTTTTGACGATCGACCCTTGCTTTTATGAGAAAACGCGCCAAAAACATCCATCAAAACAGAGTGAACGCTTTATATTTCTTCAATGGAACAGCGTTGTGTTTACTTCTTGTGATTTTGCACGAGCCGCCGTTGGAAAAATTGTAACACACACACACATTCGGGACAGGTAAAAGTGAAACTCTTTTTGCCACGAAATGAGCCATAAAGAAGGTACAAGAAGTTCACACATGCGCAATTTTGTCTCTTCCAGAACACTTTATCCGTTCCATTGAGCAAACTTGAGCTATTTCAGCAGGAAAATTGTTCAAATGCCTTCAATCAAGGGCACATTTTTCCAATCCTCCAAGTCTAGACTTTTGGCACAGATTCTTTTGAACCACGCTTTGATCATGTTGAAGGTGAAATTATTTGAATTGCTTGCGATTTGACACTCACAGAAAGGCAAATTCAGACATTCTCTGAGGTTACTAACAATTCACAATTGATTATTAAAATTACCTTGCAGCAGAATAATGAGAAAAAATCCCCTTGAAAACACACTTTGCGAACTCTGGATCACTGCGCGAAGAAATGTCTCTTTCAGCAACTACACCTCAAATCGCACTTTCTGAGAATCAAGAGCAAGTTGTGGCAAAATCACAGAGAGCTCAGAGAGCGAAGTAATGCCGAAAGACAAGTAATCTGTTGAGAGACACAGTTTCAACTGCTACGAAGCTCTGTGTGCCAGCGAATAAATATACTAATGAAATTGCAGACTGAGACTTTTCCTCTCGGGCTCGCGCGACTCTCGGTTTTCTCGGTGGAGGGAATTCTCGTGACTATGGCGGAGATTGGAAATTCCAGCTCTTGTTTCTCGGGTGAGATGCTGTGGCATTAGGAAAAAGCGACATTCCTCTCACCCAGACATTCGCCGATGGCTTTGTGCGCAGCCGTCGAAGTGGATCTGCGTCCGCAAATTGCCCTCCAAGCGGCGCATCTTCAGAGGGTCTTCGGCAACTTCCCGCAACAACACTGAGAGAAATTGCGTCGACTGTTTCGCAACACCACTGAGAGGCTCCCAATCTTGTTCACAGTGCGTGACGGTCAATTTATTGGTTTTCTCATGCACCTCAAATCCGCGACGACGGCTCACGAAAGCTCCTCAGTGGCCAACCAACCCAATCCAAGCCTTATTATTTGCGCTAATGAGTTGCCACAAACTGTGTCTCCAAATGGAATAGTGACACAAAGAGCTGAGAGACAAATTGTAAGATAAAAAAACTCTTATAAATAAGGGACTAAAAACTATATTTTTCAATGAAACAAGCAAATAAAATACTTTTGAGTCTTATTTATGTTGAATAATTTACATAATTAAGAAAAAAAAATCTCCTATATTATGAGTCCTTTTTGTAAATTCTAATAATTACCTATTATCTACAAAATATGCTAGTCTAAAAATGCTATTTATTCTCCTCTTGATTCCTCCAGCAGTGCGCAAAATATATAAATTCTTTTGCTAAATAAGTAATTGCAGAGTTCTTCTTAGCCTCAAATTATTCTTTTATAGCAGAAATATTAGGATTTTTTGTTGCTTTCTTAAATATATTGCTAGGTAAAAATGCTGAGTCAATTTTCCACCCCTAAACATCAAAAGCCGGTAAAATCCTTTTCAAAATTTCCTCCTCTTTGACCTCAGCGCCGGTGGCAATTTGAGGCACTTCCCCTGACAGACGACGTAAGATTTCTCAGGGCAAATTTGACCAAATATCTTGATGCATTTTTCTTTGTGATTTCCCTCAAGTTTCTGCCCGATTTTGTGTTAGATTCCACTCCCACCCAATCTAGAAGGGACGTATTTTCACGCGGTGCGAGTGTGCGGAGAAACAGACTGTGGAAGAGGAGTGAAAACGTGATAGAACAGTGAATTGCAGGGTGACTGGAAATCAGAGCCGGAGCGCTGAGATTGTGACCTGCTGCGCAAAAGTGCGAGGAATTTCGCAACATTTCTAGCATGGAGTTCATGGAGACAGAAACGGACGAGGAGGAGATGGACAGCGACTCAGACTACGAGCCCATCCTCAACTCCATTCTCTTCCACGATCGCGAGAGTGGTTATGGTGGCTATCGCGGCTCCTCCAACACGAGGCGCTCCTACATTCTCCTGGTGCTGCAGAACCTGGTGGGCAGCGGCCTGATCGAGTACGAGGGCGACGGCTTCGCGCGTAAGCTGCCCAAGATCCAGGGCAAGCAGACGACGGACGCCCTCGTACGCAATGACTTCTACCAGAGCGTCATGAGGGCCTCCGGACAGACAGCCCGGCGACAGCCGTGGAACGTGGCGCAGATGCTGAGCGAGCGACAGCACGTGCGCTCCTGGACGACGGCCCAGAAGTGCAAGATGAGCAGCCTGTACGTGCCGAACGTGAAGGAAGGCGTGGCGATGAAGTACGACTCGAAGGTCTTCTGCGGCAGCTTCACGCCGAACGGGAAGCACTTCGTGACGGCGTGCCAGGAGGGTGAGATCCGCGTGTACGACGCCACGGCGTCCGGCATCAAGCCGGGGTACAAGCTCGTCAACACACTGCTGGGACGCGACGTGGAGTGGAGCATCCTGGACATGGACTTCACGCCGGACGGACAGGAGTTTGTGTACGCCACAAGGTCGTGTTGTCGTAAGTTCATCCCGGGGTCGCGCTGATAAGGCGCTATCGGTGTCGCTGACCCGCCAAATTCTCTCTCTCTCCGACAGTTCACGTGGGAAATCTGCACGGGCGCAGCTCGGACATCATGTGCATCCCGTTCGATGAGTATTCCATGCACAAGTTCGCCTCCTATTCCGTCCAGTTCGCCAACGGCGGGCGCGAGCTGATCGCCGGCTGCAGCGACGGCGCGGTGTCCGTGTACGACAGGGACAGGTGCGCGTGGACGGAGCGCGCGCTGGAGGACAATATGGAGGTGAACGCTGTGCGGCTGCTCGAGGGCAACTCGCACATCCTGTGCGCGGGCTCGGACGACGGCACCATCCGGATATACGACCGCCGAGCGATGGCTGTGAAGTCGCGCGGAAGCGTGGGCATGTTCGTGGGCCACCTGGACGGCGTGACGTCGATTGACGTGAAGAACGACGGCCGGTACTTCATCACGAACTCCAAGGACCAGACGATAAAGCTGTGGGACGTGCGCGTGACGTCGAAGGAGAGCCAGATCCAGGAGTTCGCCGCCGGCAAGCGCGACGCCTTCCGCGACTGGGACTACAGATGGAACACAGTGCCGCCGAGCTACTACAAAGTCAACGAGCTGCCGGGCGACACGAGCGTGATGTCCTACCGTGGCCACCGGGTGTTCAAGAGCCTGATCCGGGCCAAGTTCAGCCCCGCCTCGACCACTGGCCAGCGCTACATCTACACCGGCTGCGGCACGGGCTATCTTGTGATGTACGACGCCCTCACGGGCGAAATGGTGCAGGCGATCCGCGGCCACTCGAACATTGTGCGCGACGTGGCGTGGCATCCGCACCGCTCGGAGATCCTCACCAGCTCCTGGGACTGCAACGTGAACCTGTACTCATACAAGGCGGAAGGGTGGAAGAAGGAGAACAAGAGCGCCCGCTCAGGCGTCACACTGAGACGTTCCCTGCGCATTGCCAACCGCAATCGCCGCAATCAGTCAGATATTTCGTGAAAAGACAACATCCTGATTACTCAATTTCCTGGTGAGTTGTCACACAGACTGTGCAAAATGATTCCACTGCGTTTATTGTAACTTCAATAATACGTATAAATGTCTTTTCTCCAACAGATTCCTACTGAAATTATGGGAGTGTACTTCTGATAGAGGGATGAATTGATACACGTGTAAGTTTTGTATTGGAGGAAAATAAGAAAAGGTATACTTGATCACAATAAATATCAACAATAATTCCTGTTGGAAATTGAACGGAAATGAGGAGAAGCAAATCAATTTATAAGATCCGGCGTGAGAAGATCATCAGCAGAGCTTTTGTCCAGAAGAGACGTCATTTGACTGCTCTCGCCGATGCTCTGGCTCAGATCGATGTCATTCAAGCCCAGTTCCATCAGCAAGTCATTCTCCTCCGCCGACGGTGTGTCAAGATTCAGGATCATCGTGTCCAGAATGGGATTCTCAGACGCTTCCGCCACATCATCGTCTTCTGGCGGGGATTCAATCACGCCACTCGGAGATTTGTACTGGAAAGCGCTGGCTTTCAGGTCCACTTCAACTGGGAAGAGATTAGCGTGCGCCTGGAGGCGTTCTGTGGTGTCTCTGGCCAGAGTGGCGAGGCCCTCGATGAAGCGCTTCAGCTGTCCTGTGAGATCCCGGGCGTGTTTGCTCTCCAGCAGTTCCATCTTCTCGAGCACGTCGCTTCTGAGGCGCGCAAATCTGGCTCTGGCTTCCTGGCGACAGCGCAGAATCAAGCGATACTCGTAGTTTCCCGTCTCCACGCGATACAGAGGCTCCTGGAGAGCGGCATAGCTGTGCTCCTCATCGTCCATCTCCTTCACCTTCAAGCAGTAGGACAGATAAGTGAATTTTGCGTCCGCGTAGCGCCTGATTGTGAGCTTTGTGTCAGGAATGGCTTTGTGCAGATACGTTCCGACGTCTGCCAGGACTGGTTTCAGTGTCTTCAGCATCTTCACGCCATCTCTGTCCATGTTGCGATGCATTTCTCCTGCGGAAAGGATGGCAAATTATCTTGAATGCGCGAGAAGAAAGGTAATTTCCATGGGACTTGCCGAAGAGACGGAATGCTTCTGAAGCTCTGGCTTGGGGTTCCCGGACGCTGATCGCGGCGAAGACGGCGCCAAACTGCTGGTAAGTCTGCAGGAGGTCAAAGTGTGCCTTCAGCATCCTCTTGGCGTGCTCCACGAGTCCTCTGTACATCGCCTCGGTGGCCTGAAGCTCCTGCAGGCGCTTCACCAGGGAATCGTTGCAGAGAATGGCTCGGGAGAGTCCCAAAGTGTCCGCCGTGCTGCTGGACATTCCCTCCACGAGGCGGTGTTTCACCTTCTTCAGGACAATGTCCAGGGATTCGCCCTGCGCCGGGTCCGCGTGCAGCTTGTTGTAGTGAATTGTGACCTCTTCGGCGGCAGTTTGAATCATCTTGGCCACTTCCACCTTCGTCTTGCCCTTCACGGACTGCCCATTGACGCCCAGCAGCTCATCTCCGCTCTGCAGAGTGCCTTCGCGAGACGCCGGAGTCCCGTCGAAGACCTGAAAGAAAGTCGAGACGCTTGAGAAGTTTCCTAGAGCGCATGCGCTCTAGGCTAGAGCGCACCTGAACGATGTAGAGACAGGGACAAAGAGGTCCTCCGCCCCCGATTGAGATGCCGATGAGGTTTGACGAGTCCTTCTTGATCACAACCGTCCCTGAGGTCACAGTCATTCCCCTGAAAAGCGCAAAGGTTAGCCTGATATCCGGATTAACCGCAAAGCTAAAGCCTGAGTGGAGAGAAAGCCAATTGAAGCACGAATTGAGAACATCATGCAAGAACCATCGCAGAAAAAGGGGTGAATTTGACGATGAGGTCCTCTATAGAGATGGAAGAGAGACTTACAGTCGCTGAATTTCTTGGTTTTGGAGCATTGCATTGGATGTGCTCAAGGGACAACCGACAACATTGACCTCCGATTCGGGTTCATTCGCGGACTCCTGTGGGGCTTCCACGGACGGATCTTTGGATGGACTTGAGAGTGGCATGGAAGAGAGTCACCAGTGAATTTCATGCACGTCCAGAAAGTGTGATTGCAAGCAGGAAAAGTGTGCAAGAAGCGCCAACAGCTGTTTCAACTCAAGTGCAAGAAATCAATAGAAAATAAAAAGAAAATAAATGTGTTACTTTGTGTCCTCCTCAAAGGCAAAATCATAGCGCACGGGCAACATTTCGTACGGATAGTGCCACATAATTGCAATAATCCAGAGTCAAATCAACACAAAAATATATGCACTATAAAATTGGGAATTAAAATTGCAACATGCGAAAACACTTTGTGGTGTTTTTACATCTTATCTTCTTCTAAAAAGTAATCATCTTGGTATTCATCCAACATCTTTGGCAAACTACGAGGGATCACTAGGCTAATTTCCACTAATTTCTGCTCTCTCGCAGCACTACAGAATGTGAAAAAAATGACGCGAAAATGTGCGAAAATTGCTAATGCGAAGAAAACGGGGCACTTTTGTGGGATTTTTCCTTATCACTCTGACATTCTTCGCGTTTGCGCGCAACGTGAAAAGCTGCAAATTGCCCTCATTCGACTGTGAAATCGAACACGCAGGGTCGTTTCTCAGGGTGAACTCATTGCCAAGGAGGAGATATTGTGTGGCCAGGAAGAATGACACTTCCAGGGGAAGTTTGCATACAAATTGTGAACATTGTATTACGTGTTGTACAGATTTTAATTATGCTAATTGTCTTAACGTTATTTATTGTTAAATAATAGAGAAGAAACTCAGGAAATTGAATTGAAAATATAGAAATATCATCGGGAAAATTCTTCAGCAAGTTTAAATGAGAAATTAACACTTTTCTGGTAGGAATCAAAAATTGTATGAGTCAGAAAGCACGTTAAAAGTGGTTCCAAAGTTCCCAATCAATAGGAATACATTTATCAACATTCATTGTCTGACTCGTGGTGATTAAAGACTTCATGAGCATCACTCTTTCTCATGTCCTTCCATGCATGCAGACATCCATTCTCCTCCTCAAATACCCTGTGGTTGTGCGAGCAGGAAGAGAAATTCGCTTTTTTTATTGAGAAAAGTATTAAATTAAATGGGGAGAATGTCTCAATTTCCTGATATTCAGCCACTCAATTGCTGAGTCACGTACTCGAGCATCTCCGCCGTTTGAATTGGAGCGTCGCTCGTTCCGCCCTCGCCACCCAGAAAGCCACCCCCAAAAAGCCAACTTGAAAAAGCGAACTTTATTGAATTTGGCTGTGTTTGCATTGGGTGAACCCACGATTTGCTAAAACCCACTTTAATGAAATTCCACTTCAGTGTCGTATTTTATTAAAAATTTGCTAAAGTCAATCTCTGATGCGGCAGTCAGACGCTGATGTGCTTTTTTCTGTCGCTCGAGGGGCGGAATAAGAGTGGATGTTAAAAACATTTAGACAATTTCGTGCTGTAATTAATTCTATTCGCATTCAAATGAGCTGCCACGATGATTAGAAGGTGTTTTGGGGGGTGGGAGGACATTTTCAGAGGCTTCCATTTATCAATTCCTCACGCTGAATGGCGAAATGAGTGCATTTTTCCAGCTGTGTGGCGACTTGAGAACAATCGAATGGGAAGCGGATGTGACATTTAAAGACTGCGACAAGTCATTATTTCATATCTCCAGCAATAAGACCCATTCATCGAGCCTATTCCGAGCCATTTTCGCAGATTATTGCGTGAAATTCAGCGTAGATGAAAGAATTTGGCGATGCGATTAGTGCGAGGAACAAAAGAGGTCAATTTTATGGTTGTTGATTTGTCGCTCGAGACATTTTCCACCCCCATCTCTTCCACCCTCTTCCGTGTGCATTTTCCCGGGCAATTTTCTCCGTCTCTTGCCAAGTTGATTCCATTCAAGTGGACGCCCAGAGAATGACGAGAGCTTCGGCGGATGGAAAGAGGGTGGATTTAGTGATACAACAAACGATTCAAAGTCAATAAACTCGGTGGAAAATTGCGCGAGAAATTTTCCACCACTATAGTTCTACTTTCGCGGATTTTCACCCGCAGAGAAATTGCAGTTATTTGCAGAAATTAATTTTTTGCATTTTTCGTTCTTTCTACAAATTTGAAAAGGAGATTTCCGTGAAATTGCAGTGCAGTTTTGAAGTGCTGCGAAAAACACAAAAATGATTGCCTTTGAGGACATTTGCGAGAAAAGTCTCTTGCACGAATCGCATCTTATCTCAGAAGCTCGATATGATAAGAGGCATATAGATGTGCACACAAAGGCGAAATGTATTGAGAGGATGCGAACAAGTTCGGGGGGATGAGTGAAAATGCGGAATATATTGAAAATATAAATTGCAATATTGCTCTTCACGCTTCAACATTGAATTGTGTATGGAAAATATATTGAATCTTCGCGTCTGTGTGCAGTTGGGATTTGAGGAATGATTTCGCCATGCGAGGGCAATAAAATGATTGCCATGAATTTTAATATGATGTCACATTTTCCGCCCTCTTGGCGTCATATTCAATTGCTAATCCGCGGAGAATTAGCCAATATACTCCTGGCAAATTGTCCTCAAAATTCATCTCTCCACCGCTCAATTTCAAGGCCCGGGCTTTGGGATAATCCCCGGCCACGTTTTAGGTGGAGTGCGAGTTGAGGCAAATGGTAATATTTGCCAATGAGAATGTTTAAGGGAGAGAGATTCACCACCCGCTGCTTGAGTGGCACCCAAAACGAGAATTATTGCCACAAAATGAGACCGAATAAGATAATGCTGGGAAATTCCTCACATGAACCAAAAGCCAACCCCGACTTTTTGCTCCTCCTCCTCCTCACCAAATTGCAATCAAAAAGTCAATTTCGCACACCTTTTCCACCCCGGGCACGGAAAACTATTCATTTTCACCCATGCAAAAGAGACTGTGGAGTGGAATTTAATCTTCAAATTGATTGAATTTCCCGTGGAAATTAGTTTTCAGATTTGGGGAGAAATTCAGACCGACAAAGACACCAAAAACCCACTTTCCATTGAAAAGTTCATATAACTGCCATTTGTGCTTAGTGATTGAGTATAGAAAATTCTGGGAATAATTTGTGCTTGTGGCAGAGAGCGAGTGGATGAAATATAGAGCATAATTTGGAAAAACCCACAAAGGCGAACCTCATTTTTGGGCTCAGAATATATTGTTTTCCTTGAGGATTCATTGATGAAAAGTGAATGCCTAAAACAACAGATTTGCAGCAATTTTTGAGGGCAACTTTAAGTAGAGATGAAAATGCTTAACTTTGGGATGTTTTCTTTGGCCACCAGAGATTTCATTCACAGAAATTGGCAGTTTCTGCAGAAAAAAAATCATTTTAGGACTTTCTGCCTAATGACAAGCATTTGACCTGTGTTTTTCCATCGATTTTTCTCAGCCAGGCTTGAGATATAATTCCTGAAATTGCGTCAATTACAATTCGCCCAGTGCTGCTGACAACCCACTCTTTCCACGCCCAGGGTTGAATGTGATATCCAGCGCGGGGGAGGCGGAGGAGAATGGGAAAAGCGAGGGAAGAAAATGTGAAGAATCCTCGGTGGCATCTTCATGTGGGCGGACGACGAGGAGGAGAGGAAAATGCTCTCAAATTGTACTCAAATGCAGTCACAATGTCCTACTGTGAAATTTAATTGCCATGGCTTTTGTGTAAGAAATACACAACGGAGTTTATAACAAAATTAGTCCCACATTTTAATTTAGCCAGCACAAAAGCCATCAGCGTGATTGTGAAGGAGAGCGACTTTCTTCGCGAACATCCCTGGATGAGATGCAATTTATTCTAATGAGCCGATGAGGCGGTGAAGCGATTCTGCGGAGGAGAAATCCGATATTTCGAGGAGACAAAGCGTGTGCCAAAAACACTCAATTCACGTGACTTTTTCGTCTGGACATCCATAAAAGCGATGGATAAAATATGCGGGCGAGAAAGCAGGACTTTTTGCGAAGATATCTTCAAAATCAACTAATTGGCAAGTGATCGAAGTGAGTAAAATGCAAAAATCACTGCCTGATTTCCTGTGCAAATCATCTCTATATCGATAAATACGCCGGAAGATTTATGAACCTTTAAAGTCCATGAATAAATAGCGATGATATTCGCGGGTAATCTTTTAATTAACCCGCGGAAGTGTGCAGCATAGAAGGGTTAATAACATTTTCAAGTGCATAGCTCACAGTCCTCATTTCATTTTGCAATATCCTCTCTCTGTGCCACATTTTCTCATCATCCACTGTGACTTTTATTAACATGAAGATGACACAGAAGTGGTGGGAGAAATTCCGTGACATTGCCATCAATTGATACACCTTGGCAAAAGGGGGAATTAATTTTATTACCAAAGGGAGTGGGGAAAATTCTCGGGGAAATTGCTGAAATGAAGTTGGGCGAATGTCTCGAGTGGAATTGTTAGATTAAAAGTTGCCTCTTTGGGCACATTTGTCGCTCCGGCGATTCACAATGTCGCACATCTCTGGTGAGTGGCTCAAGTGGAAAATGTGCTCCTCAATATTGTGTCCACATTGTCCTTTTGCCAGGTGACACGCACGAGACACTCCTCTCGTCATGATATTTGCATGGGAGAAGAAATTTCTAAATTGAAAAATGATTTGCAAGAATCCTCTTTGAATTGTTGTAGCTTTACACACCGGTTTAATTAACTCCCAGCGCTCGTATTCGTTCTGCTCGGCGCTTGGATAAAGTAAATCGCAAGTTGCCAGAGCAAAAAAGGAGATCGTGAACCCTTTGACTCACCCACCCACTGTGCGCCACCCACTCGAGAGCCATTTCCGTGTCCCAGAGGCGGAACGGGTGTGAGAAAGTGGCATAAAACGCGCGCGAGGAGAGCACTTTTGCTCAATTTTGCCAACTAGTATCAAATAAATTCAATTCGCTCTTGTAATGTCAACAATGGAAATCGAATAAAATACTGAGGGGAAAACGGAGCGCTTTCATATGAGGGAAATTCCATTTGGGATGGATTTTTGGGGGGCGGCAGAGACGTCGATTGAATGGCAATTGAAAAGTTTTCTCTGTTGATGTTTCTTATGTAACTTTCATTCGATGACTTCTTTTTTCCACCCTCTCGTGCCATTTTCTCCGTCAATTCGCCACTGAGTGCCTTTTTCTTCGCTCTCTGTCTCCACCGGTTTTTTTTTTGGGGGGCTGAATTTTTATCATGCTCAATCGATAGAAACTTCTCATGCTTTGTTAATAACTTTCGCTACACTTGCTTGTGATTCTTTCCCCTGTGAAAATGCCAATTTCATTCGAATGCCCCAATAAATATGCCTCATACTGTACGCAGGTTTAACAAGAGGCAATCTTTGTAACAGTATAATTGATATGACGATGAGCTGCTTCCATACGAAATCAGTTGATGTATTGATTTTGAAGGTGTTGTGTCGTGCTGTTTTGTCTTTTCCCTTCGTTTCTGTGTGTCATTTGTATCTTTTCACTTTGTTTGTGCCCGGAAAAATGCGCGAAGATGAAGAAAACCCCCAACACTCACCTCTTAATCCGCGAGATAGCAATAGATATCAAGGTAATGTTCTGATAGTAAAGATTTTCTATTTCATTCATCCCAAACTTGGTCTCCAACTCCGAGCGAAGTTATGAATTTTGATGAAATATCTTGATATTTCGAAGTTGTATACTTTGATTGCTGCTCCCTGACTTCTGAGCCCTGCAGAAGCACACAACCCTGCGCAGATTCTTCCAGCTGAAGAACCACGAAATCGCATGGCACAACTTGAGGGATCTAATGAGAAGAGACTGTGGCACATCGTCAACTGAAATGGTTATTGGTGCCTCAGGGCGGGATATTTGATAAATAAGTTGTATTTATCCGATATTTGCTCAGAACACACGCAAATAATGGACAGGGAATTCCAACTTCCCTTCGTGATGCCTTTTTTGTCTGCCAGGCAGAGAGAGATTAGCTCTGAGAAATTAGATTTTCCTCCTCGCACGTGGTGCCCCACGGGAGCGGGCGGGGAGTCTCTGGGGTCCTCTCCTGCATCACACCTGTTGGCGTCCGTGGGCCGCCGCGGAGGGCCGGGGACCCGCGGGAGACACGTAGCAACGGTGCGACCTATCAGTGCATCTGGGCGGCAGCCAATGGCAGGGATCGGGCGGAGGCGCATGTCCGGAGAGGAGTCGGTGGATATTGGATTTGGCGAACGTGTGAGCAATTCAATCCCCTCGTGAGCTGTTTTCGTTAGACGTTACTTCTATTTATTTGCACCCTCGGGCTTCGGGGTAAAAAAGCGCAAAGAGCGAGAGCGACTTTTTGGGTGTGAGTTGATGAAATTGCAGTCTATTTGCGTGTGTGTTGTCTTTCTGTCACACCAAAATTGAATCTATTTTTCCGCAGAGGGTGGCAAATAATGAATAAATTCTCTGAGATTCTCCAGGAAATTTCCTCCCTTTGTCATGGACATTGAGTGGTGAGGAGATTTGCTCTTTATGTATTTATCTCCTGCCTATGTCCTTTCTTTCCTTCATCCAAAATGACTCAGAATTGCCGCATTTCTTGCACTCGAGCCTTTTCGGCATAATTCCTTCTGTGACACGTGGAGTTCTAGTGCAAAAATCTCTGAAATGTTTTCACTTGGCTGCGCTCCCTGGGCAGATTTGTGGGCATGATCTCGAAGGGTTTCCGCCAGTTTCTTGGACAGAGCGAACGGTGGATGAGGATGGTCCGATAATCCACATGTTAATCTTTTGTTTTTGTTGCAGCTGATGGTCCCATTTGTCTATTAATGGAATCTTCACCATCATTAGCTGGCTATTGCCATTGTCCGCCATAAGACGCTCCAAATCCCAACTGCACGTGAATGCCAGACTCGCCCCTGGCGGACCACGTGAGTCCCTTCCCCTGCGCCGCCCCAGTGATAAGGGCTCTCCCACCCAGCGTCGCCCGCATGGCACTGACACTCCTCTGCCCGTGTGTGCGTGCGAATTCCGGACGCGACTGGGCCAGAGCGCCTCGGGAGCGACAGAGAGAGCGTCCGGGGCGAGCGAGAGGAGCGACTGTGGCAGTGGAAGGGAGGTCAATTGAGTCGTCATGCCAACTTCTACCCCTAAACTTCTTAAATATTTATTTGCCGATTTGTGGCAGGCGAAGTTCAGTCAGTGGTTGTTGGTTCACGACGAAAGATCACCCCAGAAGCTATATAGTTATCCAGATCCGCGCTCGCGTCACGGTGCTATAAAGTGGACAAAGTGCAAGGAGTTGAATTGTGTGAGAGATCCTGTGATATATTGTGGATTTTGAGATCACAAGTAAGGCGCGGGAATGATGATGTCCACTTCGCATCTCAGACCATCGCAGAACAGTCCGATACCAATTTCCAGACCGCGAGCTGTTTACTCCATTGATCAGATTCTCGGAACGCATCCGCATAGAAAAAACAATGGTAATTGCATGCATTTATCTGTAAATTGGGGTAAATCGTTGTAATTTTGAGGTGCCAAAAGCTGAAAAATTCTGAAACTCATCAATATGTTAAATGACTTTAAAGTAGACTGGAGATTTAAAGGATTTGCATTACTTGCTAATCATCATAATTGCCAGGGGTTTTGAGACCCAAATTCATAAGGGAAACTGACCCACTTTCTTTCTCATAATATCCAGAATTGTGGGAAAAATCCCTTCGCATTCTGGTTGGCATTCGAAAATTCGTCTGAGCCGCGATTTGCTCTCAATCTGGCGCACTCTCAACGGAAAGATCTCAGATTTTGAAAATGATGTGCTCATTCCATTGGAAAAATATAATCCTGCATTGTTCGCCCAAAAAGGGTAGCAATATTTTGTGCCGAAAAAAGTGCTCTTAAGTACCACGGAATATGAAATAATTAAAATGTCCCGCGGTGTTATTGTTGTCTCCTTGTATTGAATTGTAGCGTTTTGTAGTCAAAACAGTGCGTTTTTGAGGACTGTAAACAAGAGTGTGTGCACCACTCGATAAATTAATGAAATGTTAATTCAATTCAACCGAATGGAATTATTAACAGTGCGTTGTTGTAAAATGGGGTGCGGCATTTATGTGATCCCTCTTGATCATGCGATGTCGAAGGGGAGGAAAAAGGACATGATAATGGCCCGAAATTGGTCCTTTTTTCCATATGATTCTCGCTATTGGAACTTTTAATCGGATTTAATTGATTCCACAGCGTTTACAGGCAATTTTTATTGACATCACATTGCTGTTGGGGATGTGAAATTAGAGGAAAAGTGTGCATTTTTACGTGCGCTCCAAAATATGGCCCTCGTTTTTGCTCTGCTCGACCTCCATGGCAATCGTTGGAGGTGAATTGGGTGGTGATTGAATGCACTGATGATGAATGTGTATTGAATGCTGTTTTTGCAGATCAAGAGAACATGATAAAAGGCGACTCGGGAGTGCTGGAGAGGGATTCACTGTCCAGTGGACAGGACAATGAGGAGGATTTGCCCATCATGAGCGACTTGGATGGCCCGGATCACGATCCGAATGATCTCAATGGACGCCCGAGGAAAATTCGAAGGTGCGCTGAGAGAAGACGCTCCAAATTTGGTCACAACATCTCACTAAAATCATGTTGATTTTCAGATCCAGGACAACATTCACTACTTATCAGCTCCACCAGCTGGAGAGAGCCTTCGAGAAAACGCAGTATCCGGACGTCTTCACGCGCGAGGAGCTCGCAATGCGACTGGATCTGAGCGAGGCTCGTGTCCAGGTAAGGAAATTTCCGCTTTGATTTCATGGGCAGCAGAAGTGAATGACACCCAAGTGGACAAAGTGATCCCACGTAAATGAAATTAAGGCACAGCCCGAGGCGAAAAATGCACTTAATTCGTATGATATTTTCGACTAATTGCATCGTCACTCCAACCTGTTGTCTTCAGGTATTCAATTATAATTCATGTCCATTAATTAGGCAATTGAGCCAATGGGAGGCCATTGGAAACTTGGCTGTTTTTCTGAGAATCCCCATTTGTCAAAAGTGTTAATTTCTATATTCGAGATTCAAGTTGCAACTTTGCGGAAAAATCATTGACATACAGCTATAAATCACCTGAGAATTTGCTGAAGAAATGGTAATGAGGCGAGAAATTGCTGGTTTCTTGCTCAAGTTGGGCTGTGGAGAATAAACAAAAGGGTTTAACTGACCTGAGACAGTTGAAAAGTAAACAGAAAGTCATAATTTTATTATTATAGGAGAGGTTTTGTCTGAAAGGGTCTTAAAGTTGGTTAATCTTCTTGTGATTTGAACCTATTTGGCAGCAAGAAAGACTGGGAAAATTCATTTCTAGATCAAAAATCATATTAAGAGAAAAAGAAATCTTCTGGATTTGTCATTCTTTTGCTCTTTTCTCTGAGATTTTTACTGAAGTATCTTCAGTAAATCCCAAAAGTTCAGTGCTTGGTTCAGTTACACATTTCCACCAGTGTTTAGTTTTTTGTCGGGCAGTAATTATTTATTCACCGTTTTTAAGTGCATACCAAGGTTCACGGGATCAGTGAGAAAACATGAATCACAATCAGCTTACAAGAGATCATTTGATGTCACAAATATGCATCATTCTGAGGGATAATTCACGTACAATTTGTCTGTTTACCCTCTTCAAAAAAGGCACACACACATTCCCCTCGTCGAGACTCTCCAGTCCGATGCATTTCTGCTGGAAGAACATTCGTGAAATGATGTACAAAAGTCTCTGAAATGTTGTACAATTGAATGGGATTGAGTACCTCCTCGTCTTTGACTCCGCGCGCGGGGATAATGTTATAAAATGGTATTTGAATGCGTCACAGATTTGATACATTCAGCGAATGAGTGTATTATGTGTGCGTGGAAAAAGCCAGCGCGCTCGGCGCACACAAAAATGCTCCAAGAGGAGGGCAAAAAAGGTCAGAGTCGGTGCAATGGACAAATCCCCTGGGCAGAGGGGCTGCCAAAGGGTGCCGGAGGGTCGAGTGAATTGGTAAATCCGAAATAATTGCCATGTAAAGCACGTGTAATACGTGGAATTGCTCAATGGCTCTGGCGTCCTTACTTTTCCATCGCACAGAGCGGCTCACGCGATTTTCCACCCATCCGCCTTTTTCCCACTGAATCGCGAGAGGGGGCTTTTCCCGGCAGATTCCTCAAAATCATCCCTGCTCGTAATACAATCAAAATGTTATAAAACTTTACCTACATCCATGACAATGTGCCGCGATTATCCCTGAAGGGAAATGCGCACCTAAATACCATTCCGAGCACCACTCAGCGGACTCAGCCCAAATGAGTGGTAATGCGATAGAGAGAGAAGGGGTGTTCGGCCATCCCTCAAGCCATGGCAAGAGATGTGTGATGATAAATTAGCGGCACACAAGGAAATCCGATGACTAAATTGGCCTCCTTTCGGCAGCATTTTAGCGCGATGAATGGGAGAAATGAGAGAGGCAATTAGTTGCTGCAATTACATGTAATTTCATATTTAAATAGTTGAAATTCTGAGTACACTCAGAAGCAAGAGAATTTCACACTCAGACACACCCGACGTGGAAATTTATTGTCTCTCTCGCTGTTTGGCTTGAGTTCGACAGAAGAGGTTTACTTTCACAGGGTTGAAAAGCGAAGAAAACATTCTGTCGATGTTACATCGCAACGGAAGGTTAAGAAACAGATTCATGTCATTGAAAGGGATTTAAGGATGAATTTCCAGGTGGCGTTAATCAGGGATCAGTCAGATTAAACAGATGCAAAGTTCTAACTCAACTTTCTGAGCTGAAATTTGAACCTGAAAAGCTTTATTTCTTGGAGTTTAGCCCTTCAAGAGTTGAAAATCATTTTGCGCAACAGTATTTTTTAGGATCCTAAAAAGATCTTGTGAACTTTCTGTTAAGATTTTACTCTTGTGTTCAGCTTTTACGCTCTTGTTTTCCTTCTGAGTATTGAAAAATCTCATTTCTCAAAGTTGTTTTGCTGCTTGCGACACTGAAAGACATTGGAAAATCTTCAAAAATATCCCTTTTCACGTGAATCCTTGATCATTTCAACACACACATTTCAAAATATGATATACAAAATCCGCTTGGATACAATTCAAAAGAAATATTGCTGGGAGGAAAAGAGCGTCTGCGACAGAGGAAGCAATAATTGATGTTCATTGAAAGCATTGATAGAATTTCCCGGAAAATCTCCGAACCCTCAACTTTTCCATGCACAATTCATTTGCAATATCTTGTCAATTTGCAGAGCTTCGCGCATGCAAAATATATAAGAAATTCCTCAATGGTATAAATACTTCCTGCCTGTTGAGCTTATTATGTTGATTCGATGTTCATGTTGGGGGAGGGAAGAGAAAGGCTTTTTTCCACTCTTCCCACACTCAAAAATATTTCACCGCTCTAATTCCACCAATTTTCCACTCCATCATATACCAAAAATCTTTTCTCATTGTTGCATTATATCCCATATATAGGCGGCATTTGAAAGCCGTGCGCTTCATGGGGGTGGTTTTTCGCCTCTTTTTTCCACCATCGCGCTACCAGATTGGAATGCGCCATGTAATTTCATCCAATTTCGCTGGCCATTCGTTGTCAGTGAATTGGAATGAATTTAAAACGAGTCACTTAGGAGTGAGATTCAGAGAGCGTCTGTTAATTGACAATATGTCAATTATCTCGCCAATTATCTTCCCCAGTAGAAGACTCAATGGCTGGGCTTTTGTGGGAAAATCGAGGGTGGAAAGGGGGATGGAATTCATGTGCGGAAGTAGCTAATTTTCGCTTCAACAATTTCCACCCGAGGGAAAATTGACGAGGAGAATTGTCACTGCGTGGAAATCTGTCTCAATTGTCGCATTTTCTGCTGATTTCATCATCACAAGATCGGCGGATGGTTAATTCTCTATTTGATGAGTCGCTGCAGACTTTTTTTTTCTCTCTGGCCACAAGGAAAATTTTCTGGCCAAATTTCTCAGGGGCTCGAGAGGAAATTCTCAGTGCAATCTGGCATTAATTCTGAGGGAGTCTGAGGGTGAACTTCCGATTGAGTGTATTGTGTGCTGAGTGAAAGGGTCACAATGCCACCAATTTGAGGTTCTGAATAATGCGATAAAAGCCTTCTTCCAGCATGCAAATCTTTGACTGCCACCCCATTTCCTTGCATCTCCGTCCAAATTGCCGTTCAGCTGCTCTGGGGCAAATGGGTGAGTGAATTGATTCACTCAAATGCCCTCTAACAAAGTTATATAATTGACACTAATTTACAAGCATCGGGTGCATTTCTTGGCACTTGCCAAGGCGTGAAAAACATGATAAATAGTCGCAATTTGGTGTGGAAAGCATATGCATGATGTTCACTCTTGATCTTCCTTTCAGGTTTGGTTTCAAAATCGCCGTGCCAAGTGGAGAAAGAGAGAGAAAGCCATGGGCCGAGATACATCGGGCTTTTTGCATCACGAACAAGGTGAGTTACAAGACAAATTACTTCTCATCATCGCAAAAGAGCATATAAGATAAGGCGAAAATCACTTGAGCCCTGAATTTGTGGAGTAAATTAACTCTGGGTGACAAAATGTGCATTCTCTGCATATTTTGCAAATTGCCATCGATCTGTAGCAGTCCAAATTGACTCACTGCCATGGCACAATGTGGTCAATTGATGAGGGTAATTTATTGTAATTTGCTCAACAATGGCGATTATTGACACAAAAGTTGTGTGTCGCGCCCGAAAAAAAAAGGGGGAGAGAATGAGGCTGGCGTGTATAATTAAATATCAATTAACAAGTGTCTCATGGTGTTTGTTAATAAACTTAATGCACCGCGAGGGTTTCAATTCTGCTGAAATTGTCTCACCATTCGATGCAATTAAATTGTTATTACGTCGATAAGATGCTTATCTCGATAGTAATTTCTGCCCTTCATTGCAGGACTTCCCGAATTTCCACTTCCAATTCCGCTGCCGCACAATCTGGCCCACCCAACCCTTCCGTCAGACTTCTGGCCGTCGAATTTCACCCTCCACCCCTCCCTCATTGCCCCCAATCCCACGCTCATCCACCAGAATCTCCTGCCCAACTACAAGCTGCCCAACTTCCACGCCATCCTCACGCAGTACATGGGCCTCAACAACCTCGGGCTCTTCGGCAGCTACCCGCAGAATCTGTCCGTGAGCAACGGCCGCCAGAGCCCCAGCAGCCCCAAAGAGAGCCCCACGCGAGAGCCGGAGAAGTAGACTAGTCGCCCAGGAGTATGTAAATACCGCGCTTGTGGGGCAGTGATGAAAACCAACACGAATTACTTCGACTGCGGTCGAAGACATTAGCAATTTATGGAATAATAAAGATTTAGAAATTCATAAACATTCCTCTACTCAATTTCACCCACAATTGTTTATCAGCCGTTGGACGAGTTTATGTGTGTTAAACGGAATTAATATACGCATTGATAACAAATGGCATTCGATAGCGATTTGCTGATCCCAACATTAATTAATACACCGCAAGAGAATTTATGATTGTGATTAGGGGAAATTATTCACGAAAAACACACCTTCACAAGCTGTTGCGTGAGAGAGAGCAAGAGGCGCAATTGAAGGGTTGATTTTTGTGCACTTTCTCATTAAAAATTGCCATTTTTCCATTTCATATTTCTAGTCCAGGTCAATTACTGATTAATTTTGGTCATGAAATTTGCACTGCGTGAGAAAGTTTCTTTGACCGATTTGACATCAATTGAAAATTGCCCACGTGGAATCATTTTAATCGACATCCAATGGCTCAATAGGAAATCAATAAACTGCAGGCGCGCAGAATTGATGGATTGAATGGCACCCAAAAAGGTGCGGCAATATATGCGAATTATTAATTTTCTTTTTTTGCCAATTTCAATGGCCCGATATATTTTGTCACAGAGATTCACTCGTGTGTTATTGATTTACTTTCACGAGTGGATGAATACTGACGAAAGACCGAGAGTGAGAGGGACAATTTCTGCGACATAAACACGTGAACTTGAGCCCTTCATTGTTGTGCCATTTCGAGGAGATTTTCCCACATTTCACCGCAAATACACAAACGCATATGGAGAATATTTTGCTGGTAATTTGTTTATTGCTATCAATTGCTGGGTTTTTTTGACGAGAGTTTGGGCTAAAAGGTGGACAAATGATGTCTCAACTGTCCGGATGAGATTATCTGAAGGTGGAACATTTAGCACGTTCAGGAAGAATGGCCACAAAAGGTGAGAGAATTACGCGATTGTGGTTGAAAGAGGCCGACAAGCATTTCTTTTCCTAAATTCCCAAACAAATTCTCAATTACAGCCACTCTTATGTCCTTTGGAGAAGCCACTCTGGGTCGAGAGGATCATGTTTTCATGCACAGATTGAGTTATTCAATTGGAATTTGACACACTGCAAAAAATTCCCGTTGATGTTGGATTTTCCACATAATAACTGTCCATCAAACTAATGATTCGTGTGTGGTTTTTCTGAGTGAGTTGAAGCTTCGCCGAGTGCTGCAAAATTAATTAATTTGGTCACTATTAGCGTGCGGTTTGGATTTCCTGGATACCTAAGTGAGAAAACATGTGTCTGAGAGGCGCCTCGCTGCGCCCTAAAGGTATCGCCCAACAAAAGCCCTCAAGAGCCTTTGCTGAGATTCTGCTCAAATATTGCCATATCGATTCATCTGCGCACATTCCCACCCCTTTTGGCACCCACAGCGAACCTCTAAATGGCGAGAACAAAAGATTAAGAGCATTCTCAAGATTTTTCCTCTCTGCATCTCAATGCCGCACGGCTCTAATGTGGAAAATCTCGTGTTTTTCATTTTCCACTTGTCGCGCCTTCCAATTCCACCCGGCGTTTAATCAAAGTCTTAGCAATTACACAAGCATTCAACTCTGTGCTCAGGGCTGAAAAATATGAAATATATCATCATTGAGAGCTCTTCAAATGTACCGAAGTCTTTTCATTTGATTTTAATGCCATCGAGGGTGCTCGAAAAATCAGTTTTTCACCACCCCCAGCATTCAGCGTGGGCGGCTTTTCATCGCCAAATGCCCACCGCGCCTCACACCCTCGCGCTGGGTCAATTTTTTCATCGCCATTGGGGAGCTTTTCCACCTATCAATGGGGGCTGACTGCCATTCACAGTCATTAAGGGGTGACAGCGCAAAGGGGCGTATTTAATCACTTAATTGTGGTTAATAAATGACTCAACAGCCGAGAAGCAGAACTCATGGGCGGATTTGTGTTCCAGTTGTTAAGACACATTATTAGACTTTGAGGGCTTTCTCGTTTCAATGCGATTTTACAGCGCAATTATACGTCACAGGCGATTTTAATGGGTGAAACTCAATGGAAAATATGGAGAATGTGCATTTTTACACTCCTCTTTACCACTTATAATCCCCAGCTTTGATCATTCCGATTTTGGGAAAAATGTCACAAATATTAATCAAAGGATGTGGAAAATATTCAAGTTTATAGAAATATTATCAGATTCAAAGTGGGAGAAAAAGTTTTATCCAAAGTACTAAAGAGAGTTTATCGGATAATTAGAAAAAAAAGATGTTTTGCCAGATTTTTGAAATAGTTAACGTCAGTATTATAAATCATCACAAATAGACACGCTTCCCCTACATTAAAGCTCATGATGATGATGGTACAAATTGTTTATTGCGGTCATTTCAATAATTATGTCACTCGCATTGCTAACTTTACCTCCCAATAAATCTGCAATCTCTGCTGAAAATCCTCGCGGTGACTCATGATGTGGAATGCCACTATATTTTGGGTGATTGAACCGCGTGTAGTGAATTAAGTGAGCAGCGCGTCCTATTAATAGGTCCTCCAACACTTCACTTGTACGCCATAAATCGCCTCGGCTCGCATATGCCCAAAGAGGGTGCCAAAAGTGTCTCTAAGCGGCAAAATCCCACAAATGAGCATTTTATCTGCATCCTTCTCGGGATGAGGAGAAGGCAAAAAAAAAATGGGGAAATGAGAGAGGCTTAGCATGACGACAAAAGACACCGTCTTTGGGTAACAATAGAAAGTGTTTCAGGAATCCTCTCGAGATGCAGAGAGCGAGGAAAGGTATCGATTTTGCTATGTTGGAAGCAAAGAGAGTGAGAGAGGATAAAGAGCAGGAGACGAGCATTGATTTTTATTATGTCCTTGTGGCACTCTTGAGAGTATACATTTCGGAATTTGCCAGCAATTATCTCGCTTGATTTGCCGCCAATTGATCAGCTGGATCGCCTGAGGATCTCGTAAGGGGATTTATTGACCCCACATTGAGAGGTGTTTCCCTGTTATTGCCTAATTTATGCCAAGGAGATCAATTTCCATCCCAGATTACCATCGAGGGCGGCACAAGAAACAGAGATTTCTCCATCAGGACAAACGAGGAAAGAGCCGCCAGGAAAAGTATCAAATGTTGCCGAGGGAATTTCTGTGGTTCTCCAGAGAACATTGTATTTAATTTGTCACAAAATCCCCTTCAATTTTGCAGATGTTTCCGATCACGCTAACGTTGGCAGAGTGATTAGGACTTAGGCGCGCACTATCTGGGAACTCTCTGCCATGGGCTTATCGAATTATTGAGCAACAGCGACGCGTCAATCGCGCTGTGGAGGGTTAATCAAATTGCCAACATTCAATTCTGTAATTTATTACACGGATATATCCTGAGTTAATTAAAAGCAATTATCGTCAGGTGAGGCAATTCTCAGCGCTTCACGCAGGTTTTCCCGCCCCGTTCTTGTGCACTTTTCCCGGCCATGGAAATACGATGTGTGTATGTGGAATATCAGCTTGGCGGCTCTTTTAAATAAACACCAAATTGTTATTTACATCTTCATGTCAATTGCCCATCAATCAAACTTTCGAGTGTGCTGCAGAGCAATTTTCAATTTACCTTCCAAACTTAATTGCACGTGTATCTCAAATATGGAAAATTGGATGGGAAAGTGCGCCAAAATTCCACTGCAGTTGCGATTTTCGGAGTTATTGGCGCAGTGAATTAAATCATGGGCGCGGGAAAGAATCACAGAAATGCCTCAGGCCCTCCCTGAAGTGACGAGGGAGAGCCCAAGTCGAAAATAGTGATCGCAGGAAGGCTCCATTGCGTTGGTGTCACGGCCAAAAATAGACACCGAAAATGCCCGCTGAGGATCACTTCTTGGAGGAGATCATCTCGATTGAGAGCCAAAATAAACAGACACAGAAGTTCATCCGTATAGAGTGAAGGCATGAATTGTGTGAATATGTGGCACACCGCGATGGGCCAACACAGGAGTCATATCTTAGAAATTTCAATTATTTATTTAAGATCTATTAATACATCTCTTAAAGAATAATACGAGCGATTTTATACCTCCTAGGTTGAGACAGTGTATTGATGAGAGAATACTTTGAAGAATTGCGCTTAGAAGCACTTCCTGTGCACGATTCCGGGCCCGGACTCGTCGTACTCCTCCTTGGAGATCCACATCTGCTGGAAGGTGGACAGCGAGGCGAGGATGGAGCCGCCGATCCACACGGAGTACTTCCTCTCCGGTGGCGCGATGATCTTGATCTTGATGGTTGACGGCGCCAGGGATGTGATCTCCTTCTGCATGCGATCGGCGATGCCCGGATACATCGTGGTGCCGCCGGACATGACAGTGTTGGCGTAGAGATCCTTGCGGATGTCCACGTCGCACTTCATGATGCTGTTGTACACGGTCTCGTGGATGCCGCAGGATTCCATGCCCAGGAAGGAGGGCTGGAAGAGTGCCTCGGGGCAGCGGAATCTCTCGTTGCCGATGGTGATCACCTGGCCGTCGGGCAGCTCGTAGGACTTCTCCAGGGAAGTCGAGGCGGCGGCTGTGGCCATCTCCTGCTCAAAGTCCAGCGCCACGTAGCACAGCTTCTCCTTGATGTCCCTCACGATCTCCCGCTCGGCTGTGGTGGTGAAGGAGTAGCCGCGCTCTGTCAAGATCTTCATAAGATAGTCCGTGAGATCCCGGCCGGCCAAATCCAATCGAAGAATGGCGTGTGGAAGGGCGTAGCCCTCGTAGATGGGCACAGTGTGCGAGACGCCATCTCCAGAGTCCAGAACAATGCCGGTCGTGCGTCCGGAAGCGTAGAGCGACAGCACGGCCTGGATAGCCACGTACATTGCTGGCGAATTGAAGGTCTCGAACATGATCTGCGTCATCTTCTCGCGATTGGCTTTGGGATTGAGGGGAGCTTCCGTGAGCAGCACAGGGTGCTCCTCGGGAGCCACGCGGAGCTCATTGTAGAAGGTGTGATGCCAGATCTTCTCCATGTCGTCCCAGTTCGTGATGATGCCGTGCTCAATGGGGTATTTGAGCGTGAGGATGCCTCGCTTGCTCTGCGCCTCGTCTCCCACGTAGGAATCCTTCTGGCCCATGCCCACCATCACTCCCTGGTGCCTGGGACGGCCCACAATGGACGGGAACACGGCGCGAGGCGCGTCGTCCCCGGCGAACCCGGCCTTGCACATTCCAGAGCCTGAAGACAAGGGAAAAGCGAGTTAATCATCGCATTCTCAACACTTCACAGAATAAAATAAAAAAAAACACACACCATTGTCAACGACAAGAGCAGCAACTTCTTCGTCACACATGGTTAAAGCACTGACTGAACTGTTCCGGATGAGGCTTGATGAATCTCTGAGAGACGCGACTTGGAGCGACTGACTTGCTTCTGGGCACGGACGCGGTGTCTTATATGTGTTCGGGGGAGGTTAAAAATAGCCCAAAACAGTCGTGCCGTATAAGGGCAGGATTTCATCTAATGCGCCGCACTCGACTCTCGCTTTTTTTTTCTCCCTTGCGCCTCCAATGCGTGAGGCACGCATCTTCGGCGGTCGGAAAATTCCCCCAAGACCTGCGAAATATCGTACGTCGGATCGCAACACCTTCTCATTCATTCGCACGCCTATTTCGGGCGCCATCGAGGAATTTCCATTGTGAGCACGGCGAGGAAATGCAGGGAATTCTCGGGACACGCGACTAACATGACTAATTAATGGGCTGAAAATAAATGACTCTTCGCCGCGACCAAATCAGTGTGACTTTCACTCGTAGCCCAATTGGAATCCGTCGACGACGTCACGGGTGACGAACGACTTGTGTCACCGTCGATCTTTGGTCACTCGGTCAGAGAAAGGCCGCCAACAGAGGTGAAATTGTGTAGATAAGTTCGATAAGATCAAGGATGGAAGAAAGATGAAATTAAGAAGAAATTCTCCAAGGTAGAAATGAAAAAGCGTGAGCTGTTTTGATTAGGTCTTTAATCTCTCATCTACTCGTTGGGCAACTCTGAATCTCTTACAATTGCTAAACAGCTAACGATTCTATTAATATCTCCCCTTCAGAGCGCACATGTTTGGGGAAATGATCATCTCGGGGCATTTCTCGAGCGAATCTCCTCAGTCAGCTGTTAGTCCTCCCACATTTCTGACCACTGAATCAACATCAAGCGAGAGTGCTTCTCAATTGTTAAAATAAGTCCACTTCACGCCTGATCTTGACTTTCGTTGTGAAATTCGGTGAAAAAGAGAAAAAAAGGCGATCTATTTATTGTCCGACATGTATTTGATTGGTGGATCGCCTTAAATATCCACGATCGCTTCGGGAAAATTGCGCTTGTCTTGTCTTCTTGTGTGAGTGTTTTGAGGAGAGTTTATAAATAGGGAGGAAATGATTTATTCTTCCTCTAAGCTCTAAACACTTCCAGCAAGTCATGTGGGAATTTACGGACACTTCATGTGCGGAGAAGATTTACGAATTCAGGGACAGTGGATTTTTTTTTTCTATCCGCATGGAAATCAATTGAGAGCTTCTCCGTCAGTGTGAAAGACGGCGGAACAAATGAGTCGCTGGGGGTGGGAAAATCGCGGAAAATGGTTGGAAAGCCACAAATCGATTCATGGCGCTTTCGGGGCTGGTCTTTTGATGTCCGGCGAATTAAATGGTGCTATTTCATGCACGTTTTCATGCGAAAATCTAATTATTTTTCAATTTGCCGGACACGAAGACCCTCATCCGAATCCATTGTTCACCATCATGAGCATCAAAAGAGCCCAACGTTAATTGACTTTTCGCTCATTGACACTTTTTCCTGCCACACAAATCCTCATCATCACTTTTTTCCTATTTTGCGCCTCACAAATGCATCGACACAATTCCTATTATTCTTCTATGCGCCCGCGAAGAGTTTTCCTCCCGAGGCCACAAAATTTCCACCCTCTCTCTCATGTGTCTCTTCATACTGTGAGCGATGGATTTTTTTTCCGCGAGCCTCGAACAACTCAAATGTCAATTTTGCACAATAAATGAGGAGATAATTTATTGAGGGTCTCTAATGTGAATTAAACACCTGCTAGAAAGGTAAATTGATTAATCAATGAATCAATAGCGTGTTTATTTACGGCCCCAGTGCATTTGCTTGCAGACAACTCGCCCCTCGGGCGCTCTTTCAGCGGCCCTTTCCACCCTCCCCGAATGCAATTCCGCGCGTTTCGGCGCTCTGCCAGGTCGCGCCTCCCATGCAGAACTGACGCGCTCCTGAACAGGAACAGGTGGACTTAACAGCGCGCATCATGTTCGATATCTGTGTAATGATTTAATTAAACCGCAAAGAACAGAAGAAAATCCTCACTTAAAGCGTCTTATCAGATGGTGATTAATGTCTCTTATCACCTTTTCCATCGCATTGTTGTATCATTAAAATTCCCACAAACTCACCCTGAGATTTTTCTCAGGGAAACCTCTTTCACTGTCGCCTAAATTGGTGTTTACTCAACATAAATAGAGAATCTGGCAGCAATAACATAATTTCCAACTCCCCGTGTTGCAGCTTGTGTGAGGGTGAAACTCCCTCGCATGTGACACTTTAGTGCGGTGTGAGCGGCGGCTTGAAATGTGCACAATTGAAATGCCAAAATTGATTTCATTTCATTTGCGCGCACACTGGAAGTATTGGGAAAAAGTTGTTGATTGGATTTCACGAGGTAAAAGGGGCTCATGGGCGCCCTGCGCCACTGAAGGCAAAAATAAATATTTGCCCTTTGTGCAGTGGCAATTTTCCAATAAATCTGTCATTAGTAGATAATTCCACCCCAGAGACATTCAACCACCCTCGCATCCCTCTCGCGTCTATTGTGGTGGGAATTTATTAGATTTCACAGCACAGACTTCAATGTTAACCCCATTTGCCAATGGGATCCTGGAGAAAATTAGCTGGTTATTGTCGAAATTTCTACTCCTTGTGCCATCGCATCCTTATATTGGCTGGGACTGTTTGCAATCCCATTATTATTTGTATTTCAGAAAGCAATATATTGAGTTCTGGTGTACATATTATAAAGTGTATTTGCTTAGGATATAAAGTAGATTTCTGACTGATGACTAAACTTCGCAAATCTATCCCATATATATGTGTGTAGTTTTCTCCTCTCTGGCCGCCAGTGACATAATGCACTTGTTTGCTGAAAACACCGACACGCGACACATGTCGCCCACTCCTCCCACTTTCCCGTGACTCCAAGCCTTTTTTCGGGACCCTTCTCAAAGGCCAAATGTCAAGGAGACGCGCGTTTTGCTGCAACTGAAGCAGAAAAGTGCGAAACTGATACTTTACTTTCAAATTCCCCTCACAAATCTTCGTCATGCTTCGAGCGACATCACTCATCCGCTGGCGAAAGCACTGAATTCAGGCTGAGAATCCCTTCAAATGTGCCCTCTTTTGATGGCGCGCGTGTTTGAAATCGTCCAATTTCAGTGTGTTGTTCACTCTAATTTTTGGGCTAATTAAGTGTAAATAGTACACGTGAATTTGGTGTCGATATCATTGAGTAATTACTGATGGTATCAAGCGAAATGACACCTCACAATATGGCTCGTGATGTGAATTATTCAACGATTTTAGATATCTAATCATACCTTTCAGCCGTATTAAAGCCGCAAGGCGCATTTCGACTTCACACTTCGCTGCTCACAGGCCAACAACAGCGCGGGAATGAGGATGTAATTGCCTGTAACGAGGTGGTAATCCTCAAATGTGACCCTATAAACTTCCAACGAGTGACAAAGAAACTTTCAAATAAATTTATTTGTCAGCATTCCAACGCCTTGAAGTTGTGGCAAAGGTTTTTCACAAGAAACACTACAGAGAATGTCTATATGGCCAAAACTTACCGTGAATAAATTGTCTTCTTGCGCCACAAGAATCAAATTTGTTGGTTTCTTCACACAAATTAAACCTGTTGTTTTCCACCTCAGCAAATTAGCCATCAACCCCACCCTTCAGGGGGGGTGATTTCCAGTTGAAAGTTGTGCCAAACTTTGGCTGCACAAATCGCATGACGAGGAGCTCGAGGGTGTGCTGGAATGGGGTCGGATTGAGACACTCGCAGTTGGATTTTTAATCAAAAAACCCCTCCACCCCTCAAACCCAAGGTAGAACTTTTAATTACTTTGTGCATCGCATATTTTCCGGGCCTCCAAAACTGCCCCCAATATTCCACCGCAGAAATCTCGATGGGCGGTTGGTATTTGAAATAAAAAAAAAAGTTGCCAATCATTTTTCCGGTGCCGAAGAAAAAAAATCCTCTGTGAAGAGTGTACAAACAATTGTATGGCGAAAGCAATTAAATGTTAATCAGTATTTGCTCTCTCCTTCCAGTGCGCGGGGCGCAAAAGGGGGCCTCAGAGACAGGCGAAATTGATTCGGGCGGTTGTGGAATCACGTGAGAGATGGATTTTATTTACAAATTTCCTCCCTTTTATTATGTTACATCCATTGCTATTAGTTTATACAATAATTTAATTCTATGCACTGATTTTAGCCACTCTCTTTTCCCCCTTCATTTGCTTATCTAACGAAAAACTTCCTTCTAGATCTAACGCACTTCTCAAACTCGTGCTTCTGGCCATTTCCTCTCTCTCTCTCACACACTTACCACCTCCTTGCCAAAATTGCTAACTCTTGGGTAATTTTATGTCAAAATTGATATCTAATTTTTAGGGTCATTATATAAATTGTTTTCTTCTAGCTTTTTCTTGCCGGGCTTCAACGCTCAAAGTCACACAATTCGTCTCTCTAAATTGTGCTCTTCCGCTTGCAACAAGGCGCGTGGAACTATATTGCAAAAACTTGAACAATCGCTTTTTTTCGGGATGTGCTCTTCTCGATAAAATGTGGTAAATTTTGTGCCGTAAATTTGATTGCTTTGGGAAACAATAAGACTCTGTGATACCATAACAAGACTCTGCAAAGTATGCTCAACTTGAAAATTCCATTTCTCCGGGGTGAAAAGAATTCGCAAAACTTCATAAGTTTACTGAAGAAATTGTAAATTATGGCATCGTTCGCTCTGTTGAGGCATTTTGAATGCAGTTTGAACAAATAAACACAAATTAATCATACAAACTTATGCAAAAACTGTGACAATTGTAAGAAAATTACTTGAAAGCCATTTATAAATTAGAACAAATGTCAATCAGAAAGTTTAATTCTGCTTCAAGAGATAATTTTGTATCAATTCGATGAGAAATCTTCCTATGGTATCACTTAAAATGTTCTTTCATCACTTTGACTGTTTTCTTTGGTCTACAAAATGAACGCAGAAGCAATTGGAGGACACGCAGGATTTCTGCGGGAGTCTGTTTCAGCACATCCCTAACTATCTCTTGGCTCATCTAGGCCATCGTGAGGCCCTTGTTGATGCTTTCCAGGTGCTCCTTGGCCTTGATGCGCAGCGTCGCGATGGAATTGGTGCGAATGTCGGCGTTGTTCATCGTCATGTTGATGGCACAGTCCTTGGGCAGCGCGCGGCCGTCCGCCGGCGCGTCCATCTCTGGCGGCTGGGCGTCGGGCGGCGGGCGGCCGCTGGGCGACGTGGTGGGACTGCTGGAGACGCTGTGCGCGGGCGAGGCGGCGCGCGGCGGCGAGGCGGCCGGTGGGTTCTGCGCCATCGTGACGGGCGGCATGACGACGTGCGCCGGCGGGGAGATGCGCACGCCGCCACCCATCTGGCCGCCCATCACCCTGCCGCCGGTGCCGAGGCCCAGGTTGCCCATGGCGATGTTGGACGGCGTGAGGCTGAGCGGCGGCGTCAAGTAGCTGGGATAGACGGTCTGCGGGTGCGACAGGAAGCCTGCCAAGAAGAGGTCTGATGAGTGCAAGTGGGAGCGAGTGGGAGTCACCGGCATTACCTGGCAGGGCGGAGAGCAGCGGCGGCGAGAGCCACGGATCCACGGGCAGCGAGCTTCCGTTGCACGCGAGGCGGTGCGGCAGCTGAGAAAAGTGGGTCAGGCCGAGGCGGAGGCTCTCGGACTTCTCCTGGCGACGCCACTTGGCGCGTCGGTTCTGGAACCACACCTGAAATCGGCATACAACACTTGAGTTAATCAGTCATTCGCCACACAATTCTCGATCTTGGCTATACTTTAACGACTTCTCGCCTTTTTGAGCAATTCGCGTCATTTGCATTCGATTAACAAGGAGAAATGCAAGCGAGCACGTCAAGTACACTCATGCTGATAGTGTGACTCTCAACTTGGTGAATGACGGCTTATCAATTGGCTCAGGATGACTTATGAAAGTCAGATGAATGAGTGCCCAGTAATTGGAGCAAAAACCGTTGCAAATTGAAATATTTCCGTTGATGCGTGGCATTTTCTCATTATTTGCAGAGTCTCACGCTTGCGGGACAATTGAATGGGTGGAATTCAGTGGCGGAAAGTGAGTTTTATGTGTCTTTTTGCATACAGAACAAAGTCAAATCGGGTCTGAGGCACGTGCACGGTGTTTGATTAACCCCACTTAATGATCAGTTAAACAGCAAACAATGTGGAAATATGAGACGCGCACTCTTCTGAAATGAAACACAGTCTCTCAGTCTGTGAGGGAGCGAGAAACACCCTCGTTCGCCATTTTCCTCGCATTCACAGAGGGTGAAAACGGTTTTTGGGCAATTGCACGGATGCTCTGGTCCAGGCATGCGCTCGTTCACCCCCGCTTTTGCACCCCCGCACAATTTTGTTGCAAATCCTCATCTCATCACGCGCCAGACACACAAACTGGGGGGCAAATTGGCCACAAAAAGACTCCCCAAAGTCGAGGCAGGAATCAAAAATGATCGTCCCTCATTAATCACGGCAGCGGGGTGGGTTTGAGTCCGAAAGGGTGGCGCGCGCGCGGGTGAGTGTAATTAGGTGACATAGCACGTAAATAAATTTAGGGTTAATTACACGACGTGATTAATTCGTTCTAATTGTCGTTTTATGTTCTTTTCGACATTCACACACTCGCATTTCCACATATTAAATGATATAATGTTGATTGATATTTAATTATTGTCCCATTATGCCGACAAGCGGCGCTCTTTCTGGCCGCCCAACGCAAAAATCACGGCGTATGATAAGAGGAAATTATTTTCATCGTGTGTCGCTACAAAAGGACATTGTGTAATTAAATAACAGAGAATGTTAGTTGCAGCTATTGTCATTATTTTCCAATAAAATTCATTATCCTGACTATTAGGCTGCAAAACGTGTGTGCATATTTTGAGTGGCGCTGATTCACACTTTGCGTATAAATAATAAATTTGCAGACCATATGAATATATTTTCATGAATTACTGCTTTTCGGAAATTTGCTCAATGTTAAATTCCACATGTTAGCATTTTTTCAACCCCTAAACGTGAAGGATTTCGACCTTTCCATGGAAGTCAAGTGAGCCTCAACTTCCGAAATACTTTATTGAATAATTATTAAATGTGAAAAGTGATTTCCTTCTAGTAAGAATCACTCGATTTACATGAAAATGCGTGGGAAGGCAGATGTCCAATTTGGCGGAGGTTTCGTCATGCTGGGCGCAGGAGGAAAAAATGCGAGGGTGTTTTGTGTAATTTTTGCCATTTGCGCTGGGAGGCTGAAAAATCCTGAAGCTCGTTTGATGTCAGATTTCTTGTTAATAGTCCTGTCATGAGCAGAAAAATGCAATCAATTCATTTTACAGATCGCCTCAAAAATACACTTTTTCCAGCGCTTTTTCCTCGCGACGCGCACACACGAAAAAGCACTCGCGACGCGCAAAGGGATGAGAGAATAAATGAAAATTTGTAATATTTGCAAATTTGCGAACCCCACAAAATGTGCAAATTGAAAGAATTTCATTAAACGACTTAATTATATTAATATTTAATTTGCTGTAAATTTGCAACCCCGTGTCAAAGGGTATAACTTTTAATGATGCGAAAGCTCTCTCTCTCTCTCTGCCATGGCGAGGGAGATTGTTGGCGCGCCTTTCTTCGCCAAGAGGGCAAATCTAATTATGAGCGTCTTAATTAAAATTAAGCTTTTCTTGGATGCAAAACACAACCGAGTTAATAGCTAAATCAATTTATTCAATTTGCCATTTAATTGAGAGCGTAATTCACAACAAAAATCTCCGTTGAACATTTTAATTAATTTGCCATTCTGTGCACCATATTTGATGCATTAAAACACACACAGAGACACACTCTAATTTTGTGCACATTCTATGCCAGGCCATATCCTGTGTTGTCTCCTTGCTGGAGCGGGCTCTCGTCGGTGCTATTAATTGCAGAACAACCTTCATTAAAATGTGTGTTCGCCGGTTGGATGTAGAGACAATTTAATTCAATTTAGTTTGAAACTAGAATTTAGTTTGTGTGTGAAGCATGACTTCATTAAAAGTTGTTTGTTTTGAATTAATTACTCGGAATCTGTGGATGAACGGGGAAAGCTCTCGCGACACAGCTCTCTATTCCCACCCACAAAATTCCGCCTGATGAACCAACAAATGCATGATTGAAATTTCAAATTAAATTTGTCAATTACTTCCCAGGCTGAATTAATGTTGTTGCACTCTCCGTGCGTGATTGAATCTCTGCCATGTTGCGCTTATGCGCGACAGAGTTCTCGGTATCATTTGCCAACGACTGCGATGAGAGCGCAGATATGGAAAGTAATATGCGCGGCGCGCGGGAAAAGAGGCACCAAATTATCCCCTTTGCCGGGATAGAATAGAGACATAATGGAGTCACAAAGGACTCTGACGCCACTATCTTGCTCTGCATCGCCAGGGTGAGATGCTCTCGCTGAAAAAGCAGCTCGTCAGAGCGCAGAGGGAACAAATTTGTACATTGTTGAGGAGTAAATCGACAAAACCCAGTCGTATTAATGGATAAATTGATGGAGGACTCCTTTTTTGTCCTGTCCATCAGTGACAAAAAATCACCATCGCTAACAATGAAGGAATGTGTTACTGATAGAGCATCAAGATAAACCCAGCAATTTTGAAACACTCCGCTGCAGAATGCTCGAGACAGATTAAATTATATTACTTCCCTTGTAAATGCGGCGTGTATTTCCTAAACAGGGCATTAAGAGTGTGCCTGTGCCAGACTGAAGATCGTCCCCGATCAGAGGCAGGATTAAGAGGATGGCGTGCTACAGTAAATTTCAATTTGTGCAGGATGATTCAGCAGGAAAGACTCACACATCTTGTGAGTGGATCCATTTGGAACACATATAAATAGCAATGGTTTGAATGATGATGCTCTCGACCGTCTCCTCGAGAGGCACTTTTATTTCCTGTTTTTCATAACAATTCACGTCCCTTAAATTAAATTATAGAAGCATAATCGAATGATGAAAGATAATTGCAAACAATAGCGGAAGGTAATTTCTCATAGAAATCGGTGGCTCTGTATGAAATTTAACACTCTTGTCATTTGATATTGCCGACGAAAATGCTGCGTATAATGAGTATAATGAGATGAAAAGTATATTTAGATGCTGGAAACACTCCCGAAGGGCTCTCAGAGCGTCACCAGAAAAAGGGAGCGCGCGCATTGAGATGAACTCCATTCTCGTGCCTCTCCACCTTCGCTCTTCCGCATCTTCGCAACCCCTTTCTTAAGCGTAATCGCTTTTTAATTAACCCACTTTATTTGCCGAGCCTCGAGACCAATTGCTCGGGTGTGTATTTTGACAAATATCGAGAGGGATGACGTGTGTTTGAGATTATCGACGCTTGACTTCACATTGCAGCCCTCAAATGAGCATTTCCACCCTCCGCGCGAACTCCATCAAATGCTCTACAAATTCGACAGTCAAACTGATCACAGAATACTTCACAGAATCATTATTATTGTTCGGCTAATTTCAGGGGGATGAATAAAGTCTGCCTCATGATACTTTTGCAAATGAACTAAACACATGCGAAAAAGATCAAAATACTTGTTTAATCTCATCTTCTGCCAATGATACACTTCGAAATTCATTCCTCCGCTATAATTTTGAGACACTTGAAGTATTTCTTTTTCTCCATCTGGACAATTAAGAGTGGCTTAATTGAAAATAAATAGAATAATCCCCGCTTTTCTAGCCACACACAAACACACAATGAATTCATCCGTGAATAGGTGAATTCTTTGGCGTCACAATTCAATTGCTGATCTTGCGAATTAAGAGGTTTCTCCATGTGAAAGAGAATCACTTAACGAGTGTGCTTTCATTGTGATTTTTCTTGACATATTAGCACTATTGAGAGTTTAATATGCCGTAGAAGAGGGACTCCAGCAAAAACAAACATGAAGCAGATGTTCAATTGAGGCGAGAGAGCGGACAAAAAACGCTAATTTTACACTCAATTTGACGCTTCAATGGACTATAATTGAACTCTTTCTTTCACCTCATCCACACTCTTCTTTCAGTCTTCCGCATCTTCGTCAAACGGGTGAATTATCGCGTGATGAAAATGGAGATTAATTACTGATCCTCCCGCATTATGCACGCCCCACGCGCTTTGGCGGAAAACATCGGACGGCCAGGGAGAGATCCATCGGCACAAGTGGTGGGAAAAAAGGGAAAACCCATTACAAGTGGATCAGGAATAAATAACAATTTACCGTCGGTAAATCCCTCTGCCCATTTTTTGCGCTATCAATTGCATCCGGTTCCTTTCTCACAGTCGTGCCTCTCTTTCTCCCCCGCTCACGAGTGTCGGTGTTGACGTGAGAGGAGAATTTCCCGGGGATTTTCACTCTATATTGCCGCATTTTTTTCCCCATGCATTTTGTGATTAATTGCAATAATTCAGGCGGATTATCGCAAATGACAATTGACCTCTAACACAGCATCGCAAATGAGACATTATGTGCAATTGTCGCACTCATAAATCTATAAATTTAAATATGTCTTTTCACACTCTCGTGCGCGCGTGTTTCTTCCCCCAGCGAGGAGCTTTTCCCTTGAGATAAAATGGAAAAATAAAAGTCTCCCAGGAAAAGACTGCGAAACACGTCAGATGAAATAACAAATGATCGTGTCTCAACAATAAAAGGAGT